CGCCAGTACTATAGTTGTACTGGCGCAGTATTGGGCTGATTGTAAAACTATATGGAAATAAATTTAAATTTTTTTTTAAATTTTTATTTTGCAGCTTGTGATATGTGTATTATTTACTGTTTTATAATTTATAATAATATATGTATTAATAAGACAATTTTAAAAAATTTTATATTTCTAGGTTTTATAAGTAAAATAATACAAGACGTATAGCGATATTTTTTAATCAAGATATTGGGACACTAAATATTCTTCCATTATGATTTTATATGAGAAATGTTTGTATATCAAAACTAACATATTTTAGGAATGCAAAATACTCTTTTTTTATAAGTAAAAAAATTAGTTTAGATATGATTTATATATCACATCGCACAGTAGCGGAATCAATATATTAACTTGGATGCTCCTGTTTTTCATAGAATTTTCGAAAACTAGTTCGCCAAACTTGATCAGATGCATGACTCATATATAGGTATGCGTCTGCACTTTTCCATTATCTTTGAATCAGTATTCCTTCCGTCGCGTACCATTGTATTAAAATGTAGATCACTGTGCTTTCCGTTCTCTGAACCAGAATTTTCTCCGAAAAATGTCGTCAACATTTTTGTGTGTATATTAGTCAGGTTTCAAATATGTAAGAAAAGAAATAAAACTGCATCTGCCACACATGGCACATGTTAATTACGTGAAAAATTAAGAATAATTATATTGCAAATAGAAAAGTTATTCATTTCATTGTTTGTATAAAAGTTAAAAAGAGACGTACTTTTCTTTTTATTTTATCTAATGTAAAATTAATGGCTTAAATGATAATAATATTATAGTTATTGTAATCACGTAATTATCTTCCAAGAAATAAGCGTAGCGAAACAACGTGTTACCGAGTATATGGTGCCATAATTTATAGCACAAAGAACGGAGATTAATGCGTCTGCATTCTAATGTATATTAATACAACCTTCAATACAATGAATATACATTTTCATGCGACGCCGGAATTCAACGAAACGCTGAAGAATCGCAAGCGGGAAGTTTGCCAGTTTCTTACACATCAGCGGAAAAATAACGGACGAATGAGAAATCCAAAAACGACATAATAACAGGATTTTATTTGTAGACGACTTTTGCGACCTAGTTTTCCTTGGAAACTGCTCTATTTCAGCTTTAGTATGAATTTGTTTTTATTTTATGTTTTAATAGTAATATTTCGAATTAAATTGACGCTTTTACACAAGAACACTGACACTGAATTAAAGAACCGATAGTCACACAATTATGTTCAATATTTCCAATCCCAAACGACAGTTATACTCGTTTACAAGCAACTGCTTAACTACGTAATTCATAAACATTTTGAGTTACCATGGGTGACACTCGTGAAAAGGAGCGGGAGATTAATGTCCCGAGTTTGAAATCCTGCGGAACTTTTACGTTACTACGCGTACGCCGCGAGAAGGAAAACACTAGTAGCCCGGCTCTTAAATCAGGAGCGACGCCGCGACGGTGCGATCTGAAATCCTCGTTATCCTCGGTCACGGAGCTGCACGACAAGAAACGTCTCGCGTCCTATTCCGATTTCACGATAGGATTCTTGGGTTCGGATTTAGCGGCACCGAAGATGCACTGTTCGACCACCATAATACGGCGACAAGAAGCGCGTCGGAAACCGGGGAACCACGGGGGTTTACGGGGTGCATATTACCGATGCAGGGGATGTCGTCGCGCGCGCGCGCGTCCCGAGCTCATTTCCATAACGGGTTAGGTACATATTACCGTACGTACGTACGTACGTATCTATATGCGCGCTCGAGTTACGAATAGATGCATCACTCGGCGGATGCATCTTGCGAGAGTTACCTTCGACGCGGTCTGGCCTCGCCCGACTCGACGGAAGCCTCTCGAAATCTAATGATACATTGCGCATTAATCTCGGGAATCGCCGGTCATTGTGGGGTGGCTCGACGAAATATGACGATGCCGAGCTATGTGAAGGTCGATATTGCGAATCCCAAGAGGCCGACAAAAGCAGCGGCCCACGGGAAATCTTCGGTGTATCAATTCTTAGCGAATAAACGGATTTTTATTGTATAGTCTCCAACAAACCACCCAGTTGGTTACAAAAATGATTATTGGACACATGAAATTTAATTCTTTTAAATTATCAAAATCTATTTAATAAATATACTCGAAATTATATCTATTATTGGAAAAATATGAACTTGTGAAAAAATATAAACGTTCTAATAGGAAATCGATATTTATTGTGTAATTGCTTTTATGTAATATGAATACCGAAAAAACATTATCAGATATTTCAACTCAGATATTGTGAATTATTGTAGTACGCGCAGCGCGATATGATGTTAAAAACGCTCCGATAAAAGTTCCGATAGGATCTCGTCAATCTCGTTATGAATTTGACTATGGCTAAATTGCCGAATTGTCAGTTTGTCGAGTGGATAAATCGCGCAGTTAGATAATATCGTCAAATGGATAAATTGGCTAACATGTTGCGCTGGCAATAACAGGTTCGCTGAAATGTCGAAAAAAATTGCCGGGAAAAGTGAGAAAAATCAACCAAATTGGGAAATGAAATACAGGAAAGTGCCAGGGTACTGCATGAGTAGCGCATGTAAAACATGATGGTTCATAACGTTGAACTTCTCTCGTACTAATAAAATGTAAAACGTCCCACCGGAGCGCTCGGGGCGTTCCGCGGTCGGGGGGGAGCGGCGACAAAGTACGCTTATCAACCTTTAATAAAACGACCGTGTTGCATAATTCACGCACTAATTTATGCGGCAACTACTCCCGGCCGTAACGCTAGTGGAAGCCCCGTGTTCCGCACCGGCGAGCATTGTCCGGTTCAATCGCCCGACGGGATCGCGGACCGGAGTACTTTCCAATTCGGCGATTATTTGGACGGGTCTGGGTCAAAGGTTTCGTTGTTTGCTTGCCCGTTTAGCTCGCCGGAGCCTTCGTAATCGCGTGTTTGCCAAGGGAGCCGGCGGACATGTAACCCCAGACACCTCCTGATTGGCAAACATGCATATTTTATCCGCGGCTGCCCTCGCGTTCAGATAACGCGCGTTGCCCGTATCAATTATTCGTCCCCCCTTTCCTCTTTCGTCCAGCTCTTCCCTCTTCCCCTTCCCCTCCTGAAATTCGACGCGACTTTCTCTCTCTCTAATGGGGACGAGGTTTTAATTGAAATGTAATCCCAATTAAAACGAATCCGCAATCCTCGACGCACGAGTGCGTGTAATCATGTTAGCGAAATGAAATGTCCACTCGAGCACGAGTATGCAACCGTCGCGGAGAGAACGAGCAGTTTTGCGAACGGTAATCGGACCGTCATCCCCCCAAACGAAAATAAAAGGAAGCGCGAGCAAGTATTTTTGTCCATAAACATGGAATATATTATTGTGCACGATTGTGTGTGTGCATGTGTGTGCTTTGGGTTCTACGAGCAATTGATTTTTAACGTTGCACGCCCGTTGCATGCCGAAATAAAAGTACATAAAATTAATATAATGATCTAAAAAAACAGACATAAAAAACTATTATTGTGAAATTATCCGCGAAATGAAAATGTTTATTAACAGAGATATTGTTTTTTTTTTTTACAAACATTGAGCAGTAAATTAATAAAAGTGATTGTGAACATTATAAAATATGAATGTAACAAAGGCAACAGTATTACAATATTTTTGATAGGATAAATATAGGATAGATATTTATCATTAAGTAGGCATTAATTAATTAAATATGTAAGCCTCCTTTTGCACTTTATAAAAATTAGATATTTTAATCGGAACCCAGAAATTTTTGTTGAATGATAATTAACAGACACGTCGACAATTTCACTTTCTTAATATATTTATTCAGTTTCTTTATCCATAACATCGTTTTATGCATTTCAAATATACAGTCTTATATCTGGCGTGACTCGCATTGTCACGTATATACAATATTTTCTCAAAATATTACTTAACAATTTCACACGCGCCCTTAATCCTGAAATATATTTCTTTCTTTTTCTCTAAATCCACCAGACATTACGATTTGCGTTTCATCATATGCGCTACGCGATACCTTGCTCGAGGCTATGCGTATTCATCTATCGCAAGTTCCAACCGATCTCCATGTCTTGATCCGTACACAGTAGAAAAAGACTATTCGTTTGTATAATATATGTATATTGCAACGTATATTCCAGTAAATATCGAAAAGTATCGATACCAGAAGTTCGAGAAGCTTAAATAACTTTATAACTGAATTAAATGTACATATTGTCAAGCAGTTTTATTCGCAGGTAAATGTTTAACAAAGTGAACCTAATTTTCATGCAGGATGAAAGGTGCGAAACGTGATGCTGACAACTTGTAACGTTAACAATTGTGTTAACGATGAGATTTTATCCACTAATTTACTCGATATTATTTAATACTATTCCCTTATTTAAACTAGCTTTGTATTTAAACGTGCTGTTGCTCTTTTCGAATACAGCACCTTTGCGGATACTTTCTATATTTCACAGGCATCTGAAACTACTTTCGGATTTCCTGATCGAATCGTACGATGTGGTAATCGAAACGAAGTTAGAATACCATATCTTTCATACATTCAAGTTTAAGTGTACAATGTAGTATAACTAATACTAAAAGATATTCTCGTAAAAGAAATAATTTATGACAGTAAATTAAATAAAATCTTGCCAGAAAAAATGCATAACGTTATGTAAAAAAGAACTTCCATAAATTTTATAGCTGAAACTGTTTTATCAATATCTTCTTACATTTTTTCTTATATTGCAATTGACAAATATAATTGAATAAAATTGATGTTAAAAAAGATTGTTGATTGGAAAATGTAGAAGCTTTTGTAATATGGTTATATCTCTGAGAAGTCTAACAAGTAAAATGTAAATTTAAATATCATGTAGATATGTGATTTTTTTGTAGATAATACAATAATCAGAATAATTAATACGCACATATATATATCATTGTTATTGGCGATAACTTTAATTAAAATTTTAGCATTAAATTATTGTTTAATGTAATATGGTAGAAGATATACAAACTAAATTTTTCGTTAAATTTTAAAATTAGAGTTAAAATTAGAGCTAATACTGAAGAATATATCTAAATTAATAATTAAATTATAAACTTTTCTGTTAAGATTATGTTATCGTTCTCTATACTATCACAGATGATTGGGGAAATATTCTAATAGGCTAATAAGATGCGTTGAATTTTTAGTGCGTTAATGTGATAATTGTGCAGTAACAAGGAATGAAGTACAATGATCTCTTTGCATATTATAAGTCATAGAAGTATCCATTTTATGGTCAAGTAGGCTATAAATCGGATTAGTTAACATGATAAGGAACATCCGAATCGTTGCAATAAAACAGAAAATTATCCCGTGCGAATCTCTTAACGCGATTCACTTCGTATCGAGTTGAAGCCATTTGTGAGCAAGGATTTTAACTGTAACAGGTTCTTATCTATTCACACTTAAGTTACAGTCCAAGCAAACCGATTCTCAATACTGCAATATTATAAATATTTTTTATTAGAAACATCTAAAAATACTACTTTTATTTTATATAAAAAGATTCTGCAGGACCTTGAAGTTATTTGTAACATATAGTCAATATTTGAAATTATATACAATCTTCGTTATATCTAATTTGTAGTGCATAATTTGCTTAGAGTTATCACGAATACATATACATGTGATTAAATTTTTCAAACGTACGAACAAATTAAATTTCATTTAGACAATTTATAAATTTACATCGGTGTATCATTTTCTTGTTTGGAAGAATTTTGAATTTCATATTACGGGCAATCGTTTGTTTCAAATATATATTGCTTTATAATAAGAACTACCAGTAGTATGGCATAATTAAAAAGATGTGAGAAGGATATTTCATAAAATCCTTTAGTTTTACATTTTAATCTAAGTTGAATATAGCGATCGGTTTGGAAGTCATCTCGTAGGAAATTTTGGCATAGTTCAAAATTGGAGGGAATCGAAGGCATTTCATTGTAATTGTAGCGATTGCAATATGCGAGCGTTTCAAGTGCTATAGTGTTCTTCCAATGTTTTTTTTTTTGCAACAAGCCTGTATAAATGCGAGTATTTGAATAATAAGTGCACATTATCTTTTAATGATGGAATAAAGGACAGGAAGCGAGAAACGTGCGGCTGAATATGGGGATTGGATTTATCATTAATCTGCTTTGCCCGGATTTGCCATTTCGTAATCGCGTCAATAACGCACGACGTATTATTTCAGCAATATTCCCAAATTTAATTGCGTTCATGGAGATATTATTTCGCGCTTATCGCGATTACGATATAACGCGGCCTGTATATTTATTTTTATATATATATGTTATTTCCGTAACGTCCGTATACCTCTGTCAAAACAAATTTGCGTGCCATTTAAAGAAAAGTGTTTACTCATAATTTACCTGGCCGAGCATTGAAAAATTTACACAACTTTATTTTATCTAATTATATCTTAAAGCTACACGTTTATTATTAAGTTAAGCTTATGTTATATAATTTGTTTAATAGTGTCGAGCATAACGATTTAAGAATGTTTAGGCGACAATTTAGGCCCACTTTGTTAAAATTCTGAAAATCGATAATACTTTTTGAAATGCATTCGGGTACGCTTCGTTTCGCGTAAAGTATATATAAGAAATCTATCGAAACGATTGACTAGCGAATATAGATATCCCTTTTTGCAGCGGTGAACCAGCTGTGCGAACTTCCGTGTAGATTAAAAGCTTCGTCACTTTGACAATTTACTGAGCACTATGATTTCTTCATTTGGCCGAAGTCAGAGTTCTTCGGCGAATACAGACCTAACTTCAGCGTCAATTCTTTGGGTTTCCTAACATTATTTCTAACGGGGAAAGGACTGAAGTGCGTCTTTGGACTCGGTGTGGTGTCAACATTTTCGTCGTCTTTGTTCGCGTTTTCCAGGTTACCGAGGCTCAGGGTCGATTTCTTGTAACAGTTTGATCCTGGTGTATCGGTCAAATCTCCATACTTGTCAACGTTTATTTTGACCGGAGATTCTGGATGTGAGACGGCAGGCCTTCTCGTTTCTTCCGTCAGATTTGGGGAGAGTTTCGGAGTGTAATGATTTGGACTAGAAGAAAAGTATTCATCTCTGAATTGACGATTGGGTGATAGCACGTTATAGTCGCGATGCCTCATCGGTAGGTACGAACTGATATCCGTTTCGGATTCCATTATCGTGTGCGATAACGTACTTAGGGGCTTGTCATAATCTGTACTTCTGTGAGAATAGTCCTTCGATGACAAAGTACTGTACTTATGATGTTCCGCATCGCTGTAATAGTCCCCGATATCCATGCATTTTTCTTCATTGCTGATATATTTCGTCGGCGTAACTGCTTCGTCGTTACCCTTGCCGTAGTAAGAACTTCCCACGTTTAAGGAAATCGTCGATCTGTTATCCTGGCCGGTCGGCCTTGGCAACTCTTCATCGTATCTCACGCGAAATTCCAAAGATTCTTTCGATAACATCGAGCTTTTCAAATGCAGGTCGTAGGGATCGATAGAAATCCTCGATTTCCGTTCCGTGTACTCGAACGTGAAATCACCTGGTTTGTCGTAAGCAGTGTAAGGACTATCCCGTGGCGATAGCCTATCCGGGATGTCGTAGCTTTTGTAAGATTCGTAGGTACTCTTCAACGACGTAGTGTCAAACTGGCTTGTCTTCGGCACGTATCTCGTCGCAGTTGGTAATTCCGGGTAAGTGGAAGTATCGGAAATGTACGTAATGGGGGACAATCGTTTCGGTGGTACTTCTAGACGCGTGTCTCGTAGCACTTGCACATATGAGATCTTGTCGAGTTTCTCCAGTTCCTTGTAGATGTCTATGTCGCTCTTAGGCGACATGCTCTGTTCGTATTTCAATGTCGCGAATGGAAACTTTTCAGGTGGAATTACAACTTCGTGCGTCGGTTCCAAGTCATTTCTGATTTCAATGGAATCATTAGAGGATTTATAGGAAAATACGTTCGTTGAAATGCTGGTAAGATCGAGACCCTCCGTCTCACTTATGTTCTGGCTTGACGAGTTTTTCTCTAAGTTAATCATACTCGGTGGAGATTCCTCCTCATAGTTCGCCAGCAGTTTAGAAAGTTCCTCGTTTATCTTGTGATCTATGAGCGCCTCTCGAGTGTCCAAGTAATCATTCGATATGATCTCGTCTACATCTAAATGATCAATTTGTTCCGTATCGTCAATAAGAGACAGTTTTGACAATTCTTCGTTGATCTTTGCGTCAAATTCTGATACGCTGGTAGCACTCATATTATCGAAGTCCTTAAAATTTATTCGTGCCAACTCCTCGTTTATTTCGTGCTCATTCAGACCCATTTTTTCGAGAATCGGACTGAATATTTTAGAAATTTCTTCGTTTATCGGACTGATGGTGATCTCCTTGGATATTTCTTCCAGATCCGGTAGACGTTTCTTCGCTTGGCAAGCTAGAATCTTGTGCAATATGGCCGAATTCTCTTGAATAATTTTTAACGCCCGGTCGCTATTTCTGCGTCCGTTGTCGCTTTTCTTCCGCGGTTTTACCTTTGTCCACACACCTACTTTCGATTCTCTGCCGTCATCGGTATCGCTATTACTTTTATTGCAAGCTATGCTCTTCAATATACTGTCGCTGTTCTCGTCGATGTTGATTTTAGGACGCACTACATAAGATTTCCTACTCTCACTTGTTATATTTATGTCTGGGATTTCTAATCGGTTCTTTGAGAAACCACTCGCCGAATTGCTAAAGGTATCCTGTCGTCTTGCCTCCAAGTTTTTCATGTCCTCCCAGATATCGCTTGATTTTTTCGTCAACATATTAGTTTCGGGCGATCCATCGCTAAGAGCCTTTGCTTCCAAGTGTTTCATATCCTCGAGAATATCGCTGCATCTCTTCTTCGCCATGGTCGTACTGAATTCATCTATCAAAGCCGAGGATTTTAAATCGGTATATCTTTTTTCCAGACTGCTCGAGCTCCTCTCAGTCAATTTCAATCGATCTCTACGTCTGTAATTGTAATTCAGATAGTGCTTGTCGAGCTTCTCGTGCGGCAATTGAGGCACCACATCTTTTTCCGAAAGCGGATCGTCCGCATTGTCATCAGCGAAATCTCCGCTCTTCGAATAGGCGCCGATCGATTCGTAAGGGTTCAAATCAGCTTTGCTCTTCTGTGTGTAACTCACCTTCAGTTCTGTATTCAACGCAAATTGCGGCCTAACATACAAATCACTTCTCTCGGAGATTCCCTCGTTTTCCTTACTCTCGATTGACTTTGTTGAGGGATCTAATTTTGTCTGATATCCCGAGAACTTGGTCGAGTCCTTCGAGCTGATCGATTTCGGATCGGGCGAGGTTTCGGCGCTCTCCATACTGCATCTTTGTTTGCCTACACCGTACGGCGAAGGTGTCTTCTGATTAGGATTTGCGATAGGATAAAATGGCGACGTGCTCAAATCGATCGGCGAATCCGACACGTTGTCTTGGTCTCGTTTCCCATAGTTCGTGGTATATCTTATGGAGTTGGCACTTACGGGCGACTGCAGATCGGAACTGAATGATCTCTCGGAAGACTTAGCTTTGCACGGGCTGCACGAATCACTGGAACTGCTAATCACGAATTTCGGGCTTGTATCGGACTTGTTTCTTAAAGAGTCCGTGCTGATCGGGGTCAACGGACTCGATTTTTCGTAAGACGTTCTCTTTGTAATCGGCCTCGAATCGTCGAGCGCGGTATCCGAATCCACAGAATGGAGAACGAGAGTTTTAGAATCCGAGCTGATGGATGAGCAAGCCGATTTGTCCATTGTGAAATCACGGGAATCCAATCTGACTGGCGTTCTCGGACTCACTGTTAGACTAGAAGGTTTCGAATCGGGACCCATCGTCTCTCCGGAGCTGAATGATCTCGTGCTTTCGGGAGATTTCGGGCTTTTCTTCAAATTGGAATACGATTTCGTTTGTATCATGAGCTGCTTGTCGCTAAATGCGTCTTTCTTTAAAGTCTCTTCAGGACTCGTCAGATTTTCCGGTTTTATCGCGACATTGTATATTTCGTGCGACAATTTCGTCAATTTGTCATCCATTGTTACCGGGGAAATTGGAAGATGGCCTACAACGTATCTCTTGGAATAAAAAGGCTCTGATTCTGTCGCGACATTCAAAGCTCTGTTATTCACAAAATCCGTGTCATTCGAATCATTATCGCCTTTTGAATTCAAATAAACCTTGCTGGAAAATCTTAAGGAGGATTCAAAGGGCTTGTCATTCGTGTCTAAAAGCGTGATAAATTTATCGTAATTCTTATCTAAAGAGATACTGGTTTGTTCTCTGGAACTATCCCGTAGTATATTCGTAGTGGTTTCCATTATATCCGTCTTAAGGCCTGTACTATTTTTATCGCTAGCCCGAACGATTTCTTTTTTCTCTTCTGTGTCTTTCAGTCGATCCGTTCTATGCGTCAGGATATCATCCGTTGTCTCGAGATTAGATTTAAGGCTTAAATAATCGTAGCTGTTCCCAGGCTTCGACGATCTTGGCGCGTCTTCACTCGACGTATAATCCTGCAACTTCGATTCCGTTTCCTTCGTCTGCGATCTCTCGACTGGACAATCATCCATCGGCAGCTCGTCGTTGTCGTGCGCGCTCGGTACTTGAGGGACTGTTGTATTATTGTCATCTTCTGCCGAGAGTCTCCGTATTTGATCGGTGATCTTGGCGATCGAGATTTCAGACAAGGACGGAGATTTGTCGTCACGTTCGATTCTGAAAATTGTATCCGTCTGCGGTCCTTCGACCATCGATTCGCTTTTAATATACGAGCGCGCAGGTGTACTCGCCGAGGTTGACGAACCCTCGTAAGCGTGCTTTTCATCGTCTGTCGCCATGACGTAAGAGTCGGACGCTGACGTAAGTTCCTCGCTATCGACGTCACTCAGGCGATCCGGCTCGTCGCACAGCTCCGTCGACGTGCTATCACTGTCACTGTCAGCGGTGCTTCGGCTGGGTGACATTACAGAAGACGTTTCTGGAGGCGACTGTACAAATGCTGTGCCAATGGCGTCGGCATCTGTAACATAAAATAGAAAATATCAATAAAATGACTACACAGTTCTAAAACTGATTAATCTGAGAGACAAAGATAATAATATCGCAATATTATCACAAATGATAATCGCTAGTCGATAAATGGATGTAATTCTAAAAATATTGTAATATATATCCATTATAACTTATGTATTAATCTTGACTCGGGAGGGAAATTATTCGTGCGCGCGAATAGAAAGACGACTTGGCTCGAGAAGGTGTGACAGAATCGGATGTTGACCCTATCTGCCATACCTGCGTCAATACTCGTACTTGCTGATCGAACGTGAAGCAGGTGGTTGTATCTACTCTGGAGCATTGGAGGTTCAGCAATTGATAAGCGTTACCATACCCGTGAGTCTTACCATCAGATGGAAGTTCCATCTTACTCACTGCTGGTACGCTTGCCATGAGCAGGTCAAAACGATATCGTACGTTCAACGTAGTTTTCAATATTGATTTTGTAATATATGCAATTTTTATAAATTTTTATAAAGACTATTTAGATTAAAATAGTACGTATGTAAAAAATCACTAATTTACTAAAAACACATTTTTACTATTGATACCGTTGCATTTATAATAGTAATTGTGCATATATATATATATATTTTTTTTTTTTTTAAATTATATTTTAATTCTTACTTACACATTTTTTGTTACTTATATGTTTGTACTATTTTGTGTATGTACATATCTCGTATTTTAAATGCCTTCTGTACACTTTTAAGAAATAGTTTGCATATTTTTTACAACATTCTCATAACAGAAATTTTTTATAAATATTTTCACAATATTTTTGAATATACATATATTTGTAAAGATTACTTTTTATTGAATCATTTTTTCTGATGATTAAATGCACTTACCACCAGCGTCGCCTGCTCTTTGCTTCGGCCTTTTCGCGTCTTTCCAGTGAAGCGTGACACCTTGTCTGTCTCTGCGATTTTTTGGGCTGTGAAGGGCTGCCGGCCGTAATTTCGATGTGGCAGTGGCAGACGGCAAACTTAATGGTCGATTCTTTCCACTTACGAGGGCATTTTTACCCACTAACAGATGATTCATGGCTGTGGAGGGTGCAGGTACCATCGTCTGTCGCGCGCACGCGGCTATAGAACATAAGGAATCAGTTAAAATAAGAATAGTGCTTGTTTTACTATTAAACAGAGTAGATTGAGAAATAGCCCTAACATTCTTACCTTATATACACGCGCACACATGCAATCTCCAATAACTATAACTATAAATATCGGAAAAAGTACTTTGTGCCTTTATTATATGAAATAAAATCTTTGTTATTGTTTTTCTGTTCCTATTTTTGCATTCGTTTTCTCTCAAAAATATTGATTTATAAAAAAATATCGTCACGTTATAATAGAAGGTTCAGACCTTCCTCTCTTTCGTATTTTTATAAAATTTATATTATTCAAATAAATGGATAAATTTATATTATAATAAAATAATATAATTTTAATATTTAACAGTTACACTTATCGTAACGCTGAAATTAATATGTTATAATAATATATTGAATATTGTTGATTTACATAACTTTTATTTTTACTGTTACATCCTTTGTCCTTATGACTTATGATTTGTAAATTTCTAGTATATTGATTTCTAATTTCATTTCTGGAAAGTTTTGTCGTATCTCATACGAAAATTTCACCAACGGTGTCGAGTTTATCGGCACATGCCGGTTAAACGTTATTAATCATACAGATTTCACACACATTTACCTATCAAGAAGGTGTATGACGCGGCTATTTCTAATCGAAGCATATCACGCAGACTTGCAACTCGTGATTTTTACGTGATAGGTCATAATACCTCGAAAGGTTACGACGTTGTTATCGTGTATTCTCGCCCGGATCGAATATGACGATAGTGTCCAGCCGTAAACACAAACGTGAGTTTAGTTTCATTCATGAATATAAAATGAGCTAGCAAACAGAAGACGGTAAATATCGCTGCTAACGTATCGCTACTCATAAAGCTTTTATAACATGTATCATCAAACCTACGCACGTTTTTTGATCGTAAAGATGCACGAGAAACGTGCAACCTAATTTTCGTATATGATTCCAATGTTACATGATAACCTTCTAATAATTTAAAGCAATATTGATAATAGAGAAATTGTTATAAAACATCATTTCCTTTGTTGCAATATAATATGCATACGTATTCATTATATTGTGCATATATCACATTTAATACGATCAATTTATATTTTAATAGCAATTTGATGCTTTTGCATTTGATCTGATGCATTTATATTATAAATTAAAATATTCTATATACAAATGTGTAATAAAATATACTTTGAAATCATGAATTGTGAGTATCGTTTCTAGAATATAAATTCGAGAAAATGCATCTTTAATTTTTATACTATGCAATTATAGAATGCTTGTTATACTCATTTATTATTACCAGAAAGTATTATGTGCGCTTGCCGCTGCCGTTCTCGTAGTTTTGCATATTGTTGCTTCAGCGTACTAATATCTAAAGCGAGGCGTTCTCGATCACTACTAGGTGCCATCGCTTGTAATGCTCCTATTGTCGAAGGTATACGATCTGAAATTGATTACATTACCGTTTCCTTTAACAAAGAGTAAATATTGGACAATAATGTTTTAAGCTTTTGTATTTCTTTCGCGGAAAACAGATTCGCAATTTAAGATAATGATCGCGTTCAGCAGAACAAACCGCTCAGTAGCAATCGAACGTGATTGGCTCTTGCTTTTAGACTCAACAAATCAGCGTAGCGTGTTGATAAGACGACACTCAACAGTTGTGTCTGTTGAACGCGGTCAATAATTGTATCTATTATTCATCTGCTGAGCATCAGAAGTTTGATTTGCATGCTATCTTTTAAAGTATTCAAATGTTTGTTAAGTTATAGCTAAGAAATTGATACCTTTAATACAGTCGTAAAAAATATAATATTATAGTATTATATCTATTATTATATTATAATTATACGCGTATTAAAATATATTGATATTCGAAATTTTTAGTTTGATTTGTAAAGTATTATTATAGCGATTCATATTTTATCAGTATGGAGTATATATTGCCATTTTTTTAATTTTAATATTGTTGAGGTAGTCGCGGAATTCGTTACAAAATGACAATCACCTTTCTTTATACGTTGAGCCATGCTGAACATAGCAGCCGCTACAGCCAATCTTTCATCCTCTTCTGTCTCGCTATCATCGTCATCACTTAGCTTACGCGCCCATGGGGTGATGTTATATCGATGCTTTTCTCTCAAACTTGTTACACCATGCAAGGGTCCCATGCTAACAATGTTCTGCCAAAACAATTCGCAAATAAATTATGTTATTTACAATGTTAAATGCATTGGTAAGTGCTGGTCTGCAACCTTGCTTTATATAGAGGATATTTAAGCTCTAAGCTGTAAGAAATTGACCAATCACAATGGAATGTGAGGAGAACATTCGAATGTGATTGGTCAATTTCTTATGGCTTAGAGCTTAAATACCCTTTAAAGCAAGATTGTAGACCAGCACTAATGGATATAATATAATCGTAAAAACAGGACAAATTTAAAATGACAGTCCTCTGGCTGGGTTACATTATCATTAAAAATTCTGTATGAACGATTATACTCAACCTTTATGAGATTGTTTGTATCGGTGAATTCTAGCATTTCTCTCGTGAGAACTCCCATTATGCTGTAGAACTCGTCCGCCGATGTTACGGTCATTATGCGACTGTAGAAACAATTAATTATTTTATTTGTAGTATATAATCATCAATGAAATAATATTCATAATTTTGTTATATATTTTTAATAAGTTTAATTTAAATTTACAACTCACTCTGAGAGGCCTTCCCAAATAGCGAGTGCCGTTCTCAGGAGTACTTCATCACCTTCGAGAAATATTAGATCCCAGACACGTAGCACTGCTTCCTGCGGTAAACAGTGGCAGAAAAGTGTAAGGAACCATTGCATGGTGAACACATTCGTGAGCGGTGGTTCGTAGCTACTTCCTGAAAAAAACGACGTAATATTATCTATCATAACAATCCATAGTAATCAAGAAAAGTGAGAGATGGAATCAAATTAAGTTAAATTATTTGTAGAGATTATCGCTAATACAGTAAACTATCTATATCTTTCATTTATTTCAATCCAACGAATCTTTTTTAAGCACAAATGTCTTATATATATGATGTTTCTATAAAACAGAATCAATATCGATGTTCTAATTATTTTGATTTAAAGATGTTTTTGTAAATTCTTGTATCTTGAAAATATTTACATGAAAGAATTGAAAGTCTATTGTTACACCACACGTGCTACATAAACTTTTTAAGAAGATAAAATTGTTTTAAATTTTGATACCACTGGGGATATTCGTTCAGCGAAACTATATACAACTCAATCTCCTGCCATATCAGTGTAATATCTCATCGTTATATACGTCTCTATATTTCTTACGCTTACTCCCATAAGTTTTTATTTCATCAACTTGACCTACCTGTCGCTTTATCCTTCGCATCGGTCTGGAGCGCCTCGAGGTGTTTGGACAATTTCGGCAACCTCGAGCGCAAAAGATCTCGAAACACCGCCATGTCCACAGAGAGACCCCGCAGATTATCGGCAAAATAGCCCTCCGGTAAAACACCCTCTATCAAATATATCATCACTTTCACAGCCGAAGATTCCGCGCGGTCCATTACTTGCAGGACGAGAGCGGCCAGAACATTCAGGCCCTGACAGTAGCCCACGGACTTGTTCCAACGGGCGAAACCGAGTAATACTCGACGAAGCACCGCTTGATTGTCCCGGCCAGCAGCACCGCAAAACAGGCTGCAGCCTGTTCTGTGCAGGTCCTGCGAATTGTAATAACTTTTACGTTTCTGAATTAGCTGGAAATTGCTTCGGTAGCTTTCGAGCCTTGTCGAATCAGCAGAATTAATTAATTACGCAGACCGGCGTAATTTCAGCGAGCTTATTCAAAATTCATCTTGGACTTTCCATTAAATTTTCATAACATTTGCAAATGAATAGATAATTAATATATTACATCGTCCGTTTGATAAGAGTAAACTAGTAAACGATTGAACGAGAATCAAAAAGCGGCAAATGTTAATTTTCGTCGGAAAATCTTGAAACATAATCTACGTAGATGAACATTAATCACAAAAGCAACCAGTAATTATTAGTTTCTTGTCATTATAGTAATGAATGAGCCGAGCATAATTGAACGTAATTAATAATAATCAGGGCCAGTTTATAAATCTATGTAAAATTGATATAAACTCAATCTGACGCGATCAAATAAGTATTAGATTGCAGATATTTTTAGACGGGCAACTTGTTCTAATTATGCACCATGCTCGCTTTAATCCAAACCGTATTACGTAACTGACGTTTAGCTTCCTATTTTTAGTTTCCTTAACTTATTCTTTTTAATCAGTTAAAACATTTATGTACTACAGAGTAATATTTGTAACTCGGTGCTTTCGTGCCAAGAGTTTTAAAGCACTTTGAAATAAATGTACCACCATCTTTCTAAATGTTCTCCTCGGAACTGCGCATCCAGAGATGGTCTCGCGAAAGATTAACCGGGTCGCCCTTCATTTTAGAGATAACTCGACAAACTGAGCATTTCACGCAGACGGTATCATCAAAGTGTACAAGAAAAGCATATTGTTTACCAGAGCTTCTAGAGTATTTAAATAACTTTAAGCAATCTTTTAGAGGAATTTTCTCACCAAAAGATATCACAAAGATATAGAAGATAGAAACATTATTTAATATTGCGTTTATTTAATATAACGTTAATCAATGTTAACGTTTATTAAAACATTGCGACAAAGAAGACTTCTTTTCATACGGATATAACTATTTACGTCAAAGTTTGTTATGCGGATGTTAGAACGGCTGAATAGTATTGTAGACACCTACTTTCACGATTTGTATGCCGAGTTCTTCGTCGTCAGGATTACTCCACTCGTTGAAACAGATCTTCTCAGCCTGCTTCCAGTCTACGCCGCGTTGTTCCAGATGACGTTCCGCCAACGTTAGCCACAACTATTGAAGAATATCAAAGTTCATTCCTTATATACTTCTAGCTTGAATTCTTTGAATTTTTTATACTTTCTATGCTATGCATTTTTATGAGCAATCCATCTAAAAGTATATATAAATCGTAGAACACTCACTCTTTTTCGAAATTCCGGTGGTATACCTCCTTGTAATTTGGCAACCATTTTCATCGCGTCTAACCATTGTATGAAACCACTTTCCCCCGGTTGCGGAGTCAAACTGAACCTCATTTTTGTATCTTCGACTGAAATTTAGTAGGAAAGCCATCAAACGCTTTACTACATAATAATCTACCATTACAAATACACTTATACGACTAACTAACAAGACAACACTTCATAAACTGCAGTTTTGCATTACATCGTCTACGATATAACTCACAGAAAAAATATTAAACCATCTTATAGTGCAAATAAAAATAAATGTTTATTTCAATCGAACCAATAGTCAAGAAAACTTTATTGACATAAATGCATGAATATTTTAGCGCTCAATTCGAATCGATAATTTGAATATTTTACTCGAAATTGCAATAGCCACTACCATCCTGTTCAATTCGATACAAGTGACTGAGAACATCGCGAAGTGAAGCAAGCTCGCCTTTAACATTTAGTAAAAGGGGCGTTGCGTGATCGTTTCTATGACACCCTCGGCTGAAAAATTGCTAGTTTGAGTAGAAATAATCCTGCAGAAATTCTTAAGATAATAAACAATCATCCACGCGTTTATGTCGCACGTTAAGCCGCACTTGCCAATGAAACATGCATTGAAAATATTCAATTTCCATGCGAACGAATTGCATGGAAACAACAGCAATATTGCTTATTGTCATCACACAGTATCTGCAAATGAACGAGTATGATCACGATGGTATTCTCTTAATGGCTGAATAAACACCGCCAGCCTTGCGCGCTGATGTGTGAAATCGATATTATTTCTGCTTTTATAACAATTTGTATTTTGTTTTGTATTGTTATTGTATGTACCGAACGTATTTCGTTAGGATTGCCACGTGTGCGTTACATTTTACTTTGTTTATTGTCTTTGTTTTACCATATTTATATTTTTCTAGAATTTGAACGAAATAGCAAACAAATTATTTGCTGTACGTTGCAATAAAATAAACACAGGCGCTCTTTTTTACGTTAAAAATATTAAAATTTTTCTTAATATTTTTGTTACAAAACCGGCGCTTGCAATTTATATTTCAAGTGGCTTACTAATTATATATAATTGACGAATAGCGTAGCTATACAATGCTCGTTAAGTTAGCTACAAACCAAACATGTTACACATTAAATTTTATGGATATTCTGGTGTTAGCAAACGTGGTGCACTCTAACTTTAAATACGAGTTATTGCGTTTTGTGAAAATTGTGGTAAATGGATTCGCTATAGTTCAATTCGACAATTTTGCAAACAAATCATACACATACGAAATCTTAACTTGACATAAATTTAGAAAAATAATAGATATTTTACTTACACTTAAATTTAATCTCTAATAAAGGTATGGCTTTAACTACATTAAGTACTGAAGTGTCTTAAGTACTTAATGTAGTTAAAGCCGAGTACGACGAGAATACTCGTTTACGTTAAGTGCGACATTACTATCCTGCCATATTTTATCAAAATTTTACATGAAATTATCATTCCTTAGATATATCATCCCTTCCATAATGGCAACAAAGTACATGCTCATTTAATTACTTTACACTTTATTTCATACTTGGAAATAAAATCGTTTAACTATATCGTCTTCAGTGGCTGAAAACAAAGCGTGCTTGAGCTATATGATACTCTAAACTTGCAAGTTAACGTTGCAACACTTAGATGTGCCGTAGTCTATGTTCCCCTCTGCAGCAGTATTTAACAGAATTTAATTTACGAGCATTTAGCTCACACGTAGTCTGCACATGTGTATATGTATATGTGGTTTTACATTGCTGATTACGCTGTGCGCGTGCGACGTGCGACACACGAGAGAGGACATTAGCATGCGAGATAGATTTACAGAAACTGTCGTTTCACCTTCCAGCTCTTCGTATCTCGGGGCAGAGCCGGTAGCACCGGACGCGAGGTTTTTGAGGGAGTTGAAAAATCCGTTCATCCTCCAATTAGAAGCGCCACTCTCTCTTCTTCATCGTTTCGCTTTCATCTCTCACGTCTTTTATTATGTCGCGCGTACGCCGCTCTCACCCGTTCTCGTGATTCATGATCAGCCGTTCCTCGGTTTATTCTTGTGATATTCTTTTTATTCGCAATGAATCGCGTTGTTCCTCTCGAATACACGATGTTTTTACTGTGACTCTGAAAAGTCGGTCGATCCGTTGACTTAATGTGCTAAGCTTTTGCACGTGCGAAACTATCGTGACTGTATTTAGACAAAGCATTAACGTGAGTTTATAATATATATTTCTTAAATTTATTAATCATAAAGAGCGTTGCAATCTGATATAAATTTGGTAATAATGCGAAAACACTATAAAACACATTATATTAAGTATATAGTATTAATTGAGCATAAGAGTGTGTGTGTCTTTTTTCTAACTTATATCAAATAACATTTAATTCATTAGAGATCTAGCAAAACATTCCTCTTGGTTCTTTCCGCGTCATATGTATAGCTGTACCACCTGTTACAAGTACCACAATGTAGATATCCACGCACTGCAATACACGTGTAATATATACCTATGTGTCTATGGATTGTGAAAGGTTGCTTTATAGGATCTCATTATTTAGAGCATCGAGTACTATTTGTTAATTACATTGTGTGCATTACAGTACAATTTAATACACGCTAATTAACGTTTTCGTTGGTCCATGTAATAAAACCCCCGTTCTTGTTCGCGGTAAAATGCAGATAACCACTGATAAGAATGGCCAAGCTGATAACAAAATCGATTTTGACTTCACCAGCGGCTGATGAAACCGATAAAATGCTCGAGCAGTTAATCCGATCGCGACTGGTTACAATGCAATTAAGAAGATGCATGCGGCACTTAACTTATCGTTCTTTTCCATTTAAAGTTGTATTTATACCATCTACGCAATCATTCTTTTTCAATCAAGCACCGCGCCAAACTTTTAGATGAGTTTTAAGTATTGTCAAATATTGTGAAAGATTAGAATTAAGTTAAAAACAGAAAGAATTTGTGAATTAAGGAAACTCAAATGTTATATAGGCTTTTTATCAGATTCGCGATTTTACTCTCGATGCGAACCGCTTGTGCGTGCATACATAAGTGAAAGAGTAAGAAGCATAGGTATCTTAAATCAGTCACAGTTGTCGTAACCTCGATTTTACACGTTGTGGCTTCCGCTTTGATATGGCTTAAAAATGGATATTAAACCGATAAATCCAGCAATTAGAATCGAATCTTTTACAATTCGCCAAAGCCGAGTATAAATGGAACAGTATGAATTATGACGATTAATTATTCTTTATGGTTATTTTATAACCAATTTTTTAGACTATTATCGAAACGCGAGCGGCGAACCTTGAGGAATGTTTTACCTGCATAATTTGCCTTCAGAAGTCCGAAAAGACCCACATTGATTGACTTACGACTTTCGGTAATTTCGACTCCCTGATGTTTTCTTAATAAAGATGCTAAAGACTCATGTCAATCAATTTATATTTCACGAATGCTTTATATCCATCAAAATATGATTCAATATTTCTATAAAAGTATATGAAGTAAATTGACATTGAAAGGAAATCAATATGGCTTTTAAATGAAATAAACCGGTATGCTAATTTCAATTCGATAACACGCACATATACTTTTATTGCAGAAAAGGATGATCTACAGATATTAAAAAATTAAAAATGCTATTATAGTGTTTTCTATTATTCATTTTACGTTTTATAAAAAAATACAAAACGTAGAAATTATTGTTTACTCTTGCCGAATAAAATTTAATTTTAAACGAATATATGTTATGCGACTTGTTTGTCCTTTAGCTACGCTACTCTATCCCTTTTTACCATTATTTTTCCTTTGTCTCTTTAAAGCCTGAATATAGATTGTTCTAGAAATCACGCAAACAGAGTCTTGTCGTTTTATATCAAAGGAGATGGACCCAATACGCGGCGCTCATTTTTTCCCATTAAACGCACGCGTTCGTGAAGCGACTGAGATTTAAACGTGTACTCCACCGCCGTTTACCAATCGCAATTTGGACCATCGACGACCAGTCGAAAGTAATACTTACTCGAGAGAGACGGTATTAAACAAACGCAGTACTTTAACACTTCGACAGAACGAGATTAGCGTGTCATCGGATCGTACCATCTTTACCACGAGACTCGACAGCGCGCTATCGGACAATCGTTGTCGTCGTCGTCGTCGTTGATTATGCAGCACGACACATCAATGCACATCAGTGCACGTACCGTCAAGCACGGATGCATCACGAGCGAACGACCTCGACATGCATATTCGTCGCGCGGCACGACTTTGCGGAATCACCCGGAAACGCGGAGACACACACTTCGCGTAGGTGGATGAGATCACACTCCCGACATTGCTCCGGATTGCCCGGAAATTTCGCGGCGTCGGCGTCGACAGCTGTCCGTAGGAGCGTCTACGTACGACGAATGCGCCGAGTCAGCTGAACGATAACGGATAGGGTAGCTTGCGCGCGCGCAAAACCCCACAACGTAACGACGCCGCGACGGCGAGGAGGTCGCCACGAGGGGCGGCTGCCTCCTCGTGGAATCCTGCAGTAGGCACTACCGTCGTTTTTCTACGAGTCGTCGTTTTCAACCCCGTGGCGGCCGTAGCGATTCTACGTGCTGCCACTCCCGTCACAACGCATGCGCTCGATACACAGCTTCCCTCTTCGCATCGTTTCATCCCCGTGCATTTGATCGTTTCAGAAAGAGTATGCCCAAAATTGTTTTTCTACAATTTAGGTATCTCGATATATTCTAAAAAACTTGTCGAGAAAATCAGACTTCTTTTTTTTTAAATACATGATTGCGAGGCGATTATGAGGCGACTATAAGGTGAGCTTTTGACATTTTAAAATTGCTGTTTAAAATACTTTTTTTTTATCATATGGAGGGGTAAAAACCACAGTGGTGTAAGTCAAATTTTTAAAAATATTTTCTCGTGTGCATAGATGCAATTTATATAGGTATTGTACAGATTGCATCTATGCACACGAGGAAATATTTTTAAAAATTTGACTTACACCACTGTGGTTTTTACCTCTCCATATAACGTGGAATTACTTTTTATAGCAATCTTATGCATACTTACATGGAAATCACATAAGTTGTCGGATTAACGTGTGATGTTGTAACGTGATGTTGTAACATGTAAATACCAAAATGTTAAATCCGATTAAGTCGAATTGGAGTTCAAGCGTGCGTAGGAGTTTGCAAAATCACACGTGCAATATCTTTACTTATTTAATATTTATGCTAGAAAAATATTTCTTGTAAATAATTTATTAATATTTTTGTTCTTGGCGTTATCGGTAATCGATAATTGATAACATATCAAATGATAACCATCTATATATTATGGTTTTTATACGTTAAAATATAATGTTGTCAATTTGGGCAATTTGAATGTCTGATGCACTGAAATTCTTCAAGCCTCGAAGAGCCTTACTTTAAGTAAGAAAATTAATCTTTGGTATTTAAACGTAGTAAATATCGGCATACGATATGGTGGACTACGGGCTATTAAATTTTTATTACACAGAATAGTTCATTCGTGAGAAGATTAATGGCTACAGACCTCGATTAAGTGGAACAGCGTGACGAGACTTTATCTAATGTGTAATCCCGTACGAGGAGGGATTAATATATCAAGCGAATATAAAGATTAAACCTTGAAAATTTTATATATATTATTATAGAAACTTCATTATATATGTCCTCGCTTATACATATATATGCAAAATCACTCATTTTTGCGGGAGAGATTATTTCTCAAAATGTAACGCCACGTGTGACAATTAAAAGTGTGAAATACATCGGGGATCATAATCCCCAATCTCAATATGACTAAGCTAACTATTATTATAAAATTCATGAAAAGGCTGCATTCCGATATTCACTGTCAGTACTGAGAATATATTTTACGTCACGTATACTATAGATTTTCAGTACTGACAGGTGCTGACAGTAAATATCGGAATGCAGCAAAAATATTGAGCACCAATTAACTATAAAAGAATTTATATACCACATAGAATTTGTAATATATATTCATTTATACTTCTTGTATTTAAAATTCTCGGTAGAATAGTTTATTGTTAGCAACGAGAGAGTTGATCGGTAAGTACATTCGCAAATTTAGGATTGACATCGTCATTGATTTTACCGCTTTGTGGGTCACTCGAAATAGTTAACACCGTTACGAGAAATCGAAGCTCTGACGGATATGTAAACACCTGCTGAACCGTTTAATTATAGCTAGAACACATTTGTCTAACGTAGTTGTCCAGATAATAAAAATGCATAAACGACCAAAAATATTTAAATGCATGTTTTGATATAAATATTTCTTAGTATATAATAAATTTCTTTACGTCGCAAACGTGATGTCTGTATTTTTGGATTAGAATAAATAATATTTTATATTTATTATCTGTAGCATAATAATTCTATTTCATGACCGATAATATCAAATATGATGTGCGAATTCTAAATCGACAACATGTTACTATTGACGAAACGGCGCACTCGCTGATTCAATGCAATTTGATTAAGTTCGACCCGTGTGGTATGCCAAACTTCTGCTTATTAGTAAGACTGAATTGCGGCTTACTGCTGAGTGAGTATAGCTTTGCACACACTTGAGACTGTAATTTTTCATTATAATGGAATGACAGAGTGATATCTGTAGGAAATTGTCTCGTATTTCATACGCAATATGTGTATAAATACAGCTGACGAAACGAAAGAACCAGGTGTTTTATTCCAAATTCTTTACTAATAAAAAAAAACAATCAGAATCTTTGTGAAGTAAAAGATAAAAAGAATTATAATTAAATAAGTATTAATTTTAATTACCATTTTATTGAAAATAAAATTTTCTTTAAAAAAAAAAGATGCGACTAATATAAGATAATATCTTTTTTTTTAGATTTGTATTACTAAGTTAATTATTTTTAATTTTTCTATACGTTTAATATACATTTACAGTTTTTTACTAATGTACGTCATGCATAAAATTTCTTATTTAAATATTCATGACCAATTGCCTACAATATACCGTTATAAGCGTTGATTATGGAAATGCGATTCAGACAATTTATAATAATCGTTTCGATCATCAGGGAGTTTCCACATCGCGTAGTTCATTACGTGTTCATTCTGTATGAGAACGGTCGTTGAGCTTTTAGCGTTGCTGGGTTAATGGCACGGAAAGTTCATAGGTAATACTTGCGCGTTGGCCCGAGATATCGAATTTGTCTTATCCAACGTAAAAATGATAGGTCGTTCAAAAATACGCGAGATCAATAAACTACAAGCGGCAGAACAATCGGAGGAAACTGTAGGAAAGATAAAAACGATTTGTCAAGTACATATAAATTCGTGAAATGTAATGTAAGAAATATGACGTGTGCATTTCTATTTTCTCTTTTTTACAAGAATAAAACCATACAAAAAAAACGAAATTTAAGCAAAAACTGTGTATCTTTACAATGAATTTGATTTAAGAAAATTTATCGTCGATAAAATGCTATTTAATCGACAAAATAAAACTAAATTTGATCTAAAAATTGGTGCGTTATTTCTATATAGAACAGTTTGCAATCGCCAAACTGAGTTGTCTTCATCGCTAAATGCATGTCTTTGAAAGCAGCGAATGTGCCAACGCGAAGTCTTTCGCGAGAGAAAAGTCCGACGACAAAATTTCTCCTTTGCGGCTAAAGTATAAGTCGTTTCTTCTCGCGCATACTCTTCATTGTGAAATTTTCTCGAATTCCTCGTACCGGTTAAACGCCGGTAATTCGCTAGGACGAATGAGGAAAGTTGTGCGTATATCCGGCCGGCGGCGGACGCGCAACAGTATCAAAACTTTATCAATGACGCCACGTCGGAACTTGGCCCACGGTACCGTACGCGGAGCATGCGTGCCTCCTTCGCGGCAAAGTCTAATTATTGATCACCGCATCGCCGCATACGAAAGCTCGTTTCTTCGCGACCACGGCAACTTGATGACGCCACGATTTCTTCGCGACACTCAGATAGCTCTCTCGAGAACTATCTTGACAGTTTGATCGGTATACTACATCGAGTTTCTAGCTCACATTAATTGCACGATATTCGTCGCTGCAGAGATATAAATTATAATACAATACTATGAAGCCGCGAAACGCGCTCAAGAATTTCTGTCACGTATTCTGTTACAATGGTAATGAGAAAAAACGGTGTAATAACAGAAATGTCAGATAAAAACATATAACAAACGCACATATAACAAATGTTTCAATTTAGCTCTCGATCTATGTAAGTTTGTATCTACAGTACAAAATAAATAATACTATTTTTAATCGCGTCTCTTAAGCTTAAATTAAAATTTTTAATAAGAGTCACGCACTTGGAAAATTCTAAAATTAATTGTTGCTTTTTGAGAGAGAACTTCGTACTTATACTCTGAAGAGAAAAGTGAACAGAAGGAATGTACCTAAATCTCTTTGATCTCTTGAGATCTGAAGTTACATTTCTAGTGAAACTCGCGAAGAAATCGTTAGAATACGTAATTTTGAAACTAAAAGAGTAATTTAAGGTAATTATCTTTTTTTCATGGTAATTGAATGTATTTTTCATTTTAATGAGCAATTATTTAATGCATGATTATTTATTATATCTAACCAAATAACAAATTCGAGAATGTAGAATCATGTGAACGACACTCAATACTATATCATTCTAATCTGCAAAATTTTGTTGAATATTCAAGACATCTCAGCATATTTTCCGGAATGTACTATAAAAATTGTAGTTTTAGGATGGAACGGTTCAAGAAGCATACAAAACACTTTACAGCAATGTTTTTACATGTTTTAACAGTTTTCATGGGATATACCCAGCATAGGATAAGCTCCTTTTTCCGGAACAATTATCATTTACTTTATTCTATAAATTTTTAATCGCAGATAGTATCTTTAAGTGCTATCTTTCCAGTCTTAATAAATGCTATATTATCTGACAGTCTCAAAAGAAGAAGAAGAATAAAATAAGCAAATAATTTTTTTTTTGACACAATTAAAATATTTTATATAAAAATTAAAAATAATTATATAAAGAAGCATTTTGTGTACGCTTTCTTTCGTTCACATATTAATTTTTGATGAATATTGAGTAGTAGCGGATCAGATAAATTAAAGATTAGCATTACATTATTGATAAATTATTTGAATTATTTTTTAGTCATATATGCAATGAAATATATTGCAAATGAATTATATTGCGAAACTTAAATGCGTACATTAAGTTTTGCGCATGCATTGATTCTAAATATATTTCAAAAGACGAGGCATTAACGCGAAAGTATTTAAAGCGAAGGGTTTACTCACTTCTCTTCGCGCTGTGTGCTTGTAGATAGGCCGTGATAATATCGCACTGTTTATCACATTTGGCAGTGAGGTAATCCTTTCGACGCAGCTGGCGGATAAGCAGTCCCCCTGTGTGAATGATGTGGTCGTGTAGAGTCATAAGTAGGATCTGCAGTTCATCCTTTCCTGTGTAAAATATTGGCCTTTAACAATTTTTTTTAATTAAATATTATCTAAGTATTATTTATGTGTGTTTTTTAGTTACTAACATATAATGTAATATAATATAGATGATTAATATTTATACATATATCTATATATCGGCGTAAAATAAGCGTTAACGGTTAAAAATGTATAATTTTAAGAAGAATTTAATAACATTCTTGTTTACGTTAATAGTTTTTGTTTCGTATAATCGCAAAGAACATACGTAAGCCTTTGTTTTTCTCGTCACTGTTTCATTTCGTTAAAACGTGGTTAATTCCTGGAAAATCCTAAAAGCGCGAAAAAGCACAAAAGCGCGCATATTGCAAACACATCAAATGATGCACGTGCACGTTATATCGCGGCAACCGGTTGCGAGTCATTGCATTATTCATAAAGTCAAGAGAGTTGTGCGGTATTGTGAGGAATCTTTGAAAGAAATTTGCACGAACGTCGATGATCCGCAGAATAATAATGGCGTTATTAGAAGAGAACAGGAAAGGGGGGAGAAGTACGCATAAACCATTTCGCTCTTTTTTCATTTTTCCGCGCATTCGTCGACGTTAATAATCGTATACGTATCGAACATTTTCTTTTATTATTGTAACATACATATCATCTAAAAGAATATCATTTTACTATAGAAACTTTATTGTATGTTAAGAAGAAACTACCGCACATAGAGAGAGAAAGAGAGAGAGAGAGAGAAAACTAATTCAATTGAAATCAGATCGATCCGCTATTTTTTTTTATGGTTTTTTTATGGTAAATATGCAGTAATAATAATGTTTTATATTATAATGTCAAGTGAAGGCTCCTCCAATCGCACGCAGATAAAAAATCAAAAGACGAAATTGCCGCTTTTATTATTCTGAAATATATGTACATAATAAAGAGATGTTCTGAAAGACTTGCAGTTCTATTGCTGAATATAGATTCAGCGATTTTTTAAATATTATCAAAGCAATTTATCGACGATTGCATAAGAGAAACTCATCAAATCTTTCTTGTTATTTACAAAAGCTATATAAACAGCAGCAAAATCCTTTGCAGTTTAAAAGTTCAAGTGCTATGTATTTCTTATATAAATTTATTTTTTATATATAAAATTAAAGTGGTTTAGATTGAAAATATATAATATTTATGGTTTGTTTTTTAGCATATTATATAGGTATCTTATATAATTTTATTGTAAAGGAACATTTATTCAATTTCCATGTTTACGTAGCTCACAATAATAGATCGTTACTTATTACCGGCGCTTTCAATCGTCGAGATGGATATGAGCTTTCATACGACTATTTTTCCACGACGCTTATGTATCCGGCTCATATAGAATTGTCTTACTTTTCAAAAGCAAACGAGTTTTCTGCAGATATTGATGTTGCGGCCACGTTTTCAAGGACGATGCCGTAGAATCGCTTTCCGAGCGTCTCCTGTCACCCATCGGTATACCGTAAATATCTAGCAACAGTTGATCCACCAACGAGGTAATCACAATTTCTTTCTGCAGCGGAAAATAGCGCAGGGGTGGCGGATATATCTAAAATACATTTGTTAAGCAACAGTTTAGAATGTTTTGTTTTTTCTAGATAAATAATGTGAGGAGACTGATTTAAAGTTATATTGAACATATATAACTAAATTATGGAAAATGTGGAAAAGAAAATTATACATAGTTTATTCTACCTAGTATCATTTTGACAATGATTACTTCTACTATATTGTTTGATAGAGTTACTAAAAGTTTCATTATAAGTATATATCTTTTTAGCATCTATACTTGTAGCATCTGACATTAACCGCCCACGTATCGCAAAACGAATTCGTAGAAAGCAAATTAAAGAAAGTATTCGATTAAGATGTAATCTTTAAATGTGTGTTTCTCTCAACATGTATTTTACTAACAGATAAACTCGGAGAAACTTTTTATCTAAAGAAGACTGATCAATTCCGAACTGACACATATTCTAACTTTTACGACTTCACATGCTAATACCTTAAGTCGATGTTATTAAATGGAATAAGTAAACTTCAGTCACATACTATTCATATTTTTTTATATCATTAACTGGCAAATCTCCTTGATGGAGATTGATTAATCTTGAATTCCATTTTACGCGAACGTTTACCTTAGGTTTCTTGATGGCCGCATTATGGTTCCCGGCATTCTTATAATTAAACGCGATTACGTTCGGCTCATCTCCCATCGACTTGGAACGTTTTTGCCAGCGCGAGCTCGCGACACCGGCACTTCCAGTCAATCGTTTGTTCAGCTCCATAAAATCTGGTCCGTTCAGAGTCTGCTGTATCAAGTTGCGCTTTTGCCTCCTGCATTCTGGCGGAAAAGGATAGCCCTCCGGTCTGTTAACGAGATTCTGCGTCTGCTGGGTAACGTAGACATCGCCGAACACCCGTTCGTTCTCTACCGCGACGCATTTCACGCGGTAAGTGATTTCCGCGTGCTTCTTCAGCGGCGTCACGTTGTAACTCATGATCGTCGTTGAAAACGCGGGTTGTCCATGTATTATACGTTGGTTCCACACGATCACTGCCGCCCCGTGTCCAATTCTCAAATTTCCCGCATCGCACCATTCACACCGGTGAACTTTGCCACGCTACGAGTGACCACGTGCCGTATAGCGCGTTCGATCAATCTCCAGTTACGACTCCCTTTGTCGTCGTGTTTCCCATAAGTTCAATAAGCGTAATGTAGAAACGGCTTGCCATGGCACACCAAACGCCAGTCATCATTGATACGCTTCTGTATATTTATTCGTATTTATAATAGCAATTCAGGTTATATATATCTACATATGTTTTTATACCGATTTACCGAGAGTTTTAAAGTTTTATTTTTATTCTGAGCATGGACTCAAGATTTTTATATTCGAAGAATTTTGTCGTAATTTAGCGGCAAGCATTACCGACCAGTCTTTTCTTATAAGTGACAGTTATTACACAATGTTTTTGCACGTCATAAGATTTATGTGAAACGCGAATTTTTATACATTTGATATAAATTCGTGTCTATAGCGACAAGAATATTGGAAGTGCTATTACATGCTGCATGCAATTGCAACTGAATATACAGATGAGTAACCTTGGAACTGACTGCAGGATACGAAAGCGTTGATAAATGATAACCTTCTCCATATACGACACTAGTTACACATCTAATTATATAATATTTTTCTCTATTTTCCGCATTATTATTCCACTCAATTCGGACTTTATTGTATTTAAATAAATATAACGTAAGTTTCAAATTAATTCATAAATATATTAAAATACATATAAATAAGATAGATGAATGTATTTAACAGATTATTCAAATACAAAAAATATCTTAATACTTTCGTAATCTCCACTTATTGTTTCAGTATACGACGATTAAAATATGACGCTGTATTTATGAACACGCACTAATTCTCACTTCACTATATGTAAGTTTTATCTTTAACGAACTCAGATATCGCTTGCGGTTAAAGAAATTTTACACACATATTTTATTTTAGGCTAATTGATATGAGTGAACATTGTAACACTGCAATTTTGAAACCTATGTATAAATGCAATTATTTATAAGTTCTTTCAGTTTCTCTTGCGCAACGTATTTCTTATCGCCAGTAATTCCCTTCTGGTAGCCAGACCGCAACTGGAAGTGTCGGTGATGATAATCGTTTCATTAAGTCTATACCTACATGCCTGTTGTCACCCGACTTAGTTAATGGAGGTGGAACTGAAAAATGGGACGTATGCCTTTATTTGCATTCCGTAAACGTGTAACCGTAGCTTATAAATAAAACATTCTCGGTACTTTTCCGATAAACGTTGTTTCTTCCATAAACAGGAAAAACATTAATTTATTATGCAAAAATGTGAAATGCGTATTTTATGAATATAACATCGGTTCGTAATTTTTTATTTTGTGCAAACCTATTAGAACAAAAATTGCAGCACTCGTGCTGCAATTTGTCTTTTCTTTAAAAAACGATAGAATTTTTTGTCACATTTAACATTTATTTTATACATATATACATATATTGAAATATAATTTTATATGTCACGATAATACTTATGTTTAAATTAATTTAAGTTAAATCTATATGTAGTCTTAAATTATAAGGAAAATAAGCTTAACAATAAGTATATCAGTTAACTTATATAATTTTTATAAAGAACAACTCATTGTGTCAGTAATCTATTTCAAACAAAATTGGCACGTAAAGTAGAGACCATTTGTTTGCTTCACAGACAAAGAAATGATTTATACCTATATTATCACTGCACTCTGCCTTGGTTAACGATAGTTTGCCGTATTTCACCACCGTTGTCCTCCAAATGGTCAGACAGACCATTTCTATTATCAACGGATACGATAATATAACTGGCACAATATATAGTGCAAACTTTGTTTAAATGCTAAATACAGTCCGGTCGCCTTATAGTCATTCACCTGGTAAGTCTGTTGACCCTAATCAGAGAACTGTTAGAGGGGGCCCGTATCTTTGCCTGTAACATGTGCATAAATTTCCATTTCCGTACTTGAAACTTTGCTGCAAATGGGAATATGTTTGCCGCGTTGCATAAAAAACTTTGTAATTATTACAGAATGCACAAAAAATTATTACAGAATTATTATGGAACGCATAACAAATCGATGCGAATTTTATATAAATTTATTTTATTAATTTACAAAGTTATATATATATAATTGTTAAACAACACAAGCGTTAATCATTTTTTATAATTATGTTGCATTATACATTTATTGTTTTATTTATTTATTATTTTGCAGATGTTGGATTATAATCTACCACAATTAATTAAATAATGCATTGGATGTGAATTATTAGCATATGCATTCATGATTATACATCGTAGAAAGTTAATATAAGCGTTAGAGCATATGTATATTATCTAGCTTTAATTTATTAGACAGAACGTGAATAGTTAATAATAATCATTATTATATGAAATCCTATCAATTTATCACGACAATAATTCGTAATTTGCGTTGTTGGCTAATTATACGATTAAATCGATTAAATTGAAACATAAAATGATTTACAAAATTTAAATAATATAGATAGGTTACTTGTAAATTATCTCAGTGTATATACACATATTTACAATTAGTCATATCAAGAGTATATACTTTTGTATGCTATACTTTCGTATATACATTCGTGTTTAATCGATCGCGTATATGCTAGTATCGTTTCTACAGCAACCAAATAATCATGGCTATCTTCTAGAAGTGAATTCAAACGCATAGCGTCTTACTAATTATTGAGGAGTAATTAAAAAAATTTAAATTACCATATTAAATTTATCTAGTAGAGAAATGGTCGATATACCGTGCTCTTGTGTTGACGAAAAACTTTCGGATTACCAAGACGAGAAATCATCCGCGCTTGGTCCGCGTACAAACGAGGTTTACCGAACCTACAATCTTCCATCAAGATTTATGTATCCAAGTAAGTTTTCCAGAAGATAGGATATTGATATTGTAAAATAACATTCCATTTCAAGTTAAATTCTCTGGTAAATCGAGGTAATTGGAAATCGTTCAACATGCAATGTGTAGAAACAAGTGAATTTCGTTTTTCTCGGACGCAATTCAATAATCTACGTATTTACTGCTCTCAAACTCAATATTGCAAATTCAACTGCGTAATACAATGCCACTGGCTCTTTTTTCAATTAAATTGCTACGTAATCGGATATTCCTCTCACGCGCTATTCATTTAGACATATCTCGCTGCATTTTCAAAGTTCTCTGCATTATATACGTATAAACATGAAAGAATAAAAAAGCTACGCATAAATACGGTAAATGAATTAAAATATGTAATGTAATATAAACGCAAAAATAATTTAGTTAAAAGTTTATAAAATAAATGTACATAGGAAGTATCATGAAAATCACCGACGGCAAGATTGTTTTTAATGCAAATAATGGATAAAATTAGTTGCAGGTACGAGAGCTTTTTTCATACGAGATAATATGTTGTTTGATTATGTGTTCTGGTTCAGAAGCTAGCACGATAATGTTCGGCTATTAATAAGCCGGCGCAGCCGATCACTGCACTCGTCGAATCTTATCAGCCCATGAGCATTTTTATGTATTTCCCAATGAATCTTTTGCAAGTAACTCGTACACAAAGTTAATATATGTGGACGGAGCGGCGCCTGAATCTTTTATCGCTGCACGTTGTATAAAGTGTGAGATCCTGATACGGTCTTGTTATTCGTCACCGATAATTCTTCGTCGTTTTCCGGTATGCAGATATATTGGCTTCGTATTGCAGAGCATAGAAGATGAACGTTTCCTAAATATTAATTTATTGCATCGGGAATTTTCTGGAGGAACATATCTACTGAAATTGTTGTGCAACATAATTTTTATTATTTTATTATTAAACTTACGATAAATTTATTGTGTTGTTTGATAAAAATATTATTATTATTATTCTCATGTCAGTAATTTATAGAAAATATGATTTTATAAATACATATAGAAATGCACACTCATAATATGTTTACTCTCACGTCTATAATTTTACAATTACAAAGAATACACCGGTCTTGCAAACAATGCGAGAAATTTATATTAATTTATTTTATTTATTACACGTGCTAATAGGTGTTAATTATTGTTGATATGTAATTTCAAAGAGCCATTTAAATTCTACTTGCGTTGTCGAAGTTTAGTCGGAGATTAATTGAATAAAGCTTTTTCGCATAATTAACTATAATATTAAAAGATAATGTTATCTATCATTATGCGAGGCTCCTATAATTTATAAATTAATTATGAAGTCCAAGATAATGCGGGATAGATTATATGGTAGATGTGCGTGTAATAACTTATCGCTGATATATATATTCGCAAACGTTATGTACGCGAAGAAACCCCCGGTACATACGAAGTTAGTGCACAATCAGCCTCCGAGCACACCATGTGCTTCCTCCTTCTTATTTATCTTCTCTTATCGGCCAACGTCGCGGATGTTTTCACGGAGGACGCCGACTGTCAGGTTTACAACCACCTATATGTCTGTTTGGAGAATGGCGGTTTTCTTCACAGCGTTGCTTTTGAGGACGTCAACGCTGTTCAGACGATCGAGGATATCGAGCTACATCTGGAGAATCTCGAGATCATTAACATCACCAGGAACGCCTTCACCGAGGTCAGCAACTCGTCCGCTCTCTATGTACGCGACAATCGATTATCGAGTATCAGCCGGCATTACTTCGACACCCTGAATCAGCTCACTTATTTGGACCTGAGGAATAATACAATCACCAATGTAGAAGATGGTGCTTTCGCAAGTTTGAGCGATCTGGAGACTCTGTTGCTGGATCACAATAATCTCTCGGACTTGCGACCCGGTGTGTGGAGGGGTCTTTCGGAGTTGCACGAGCTCTATATCACCCACAACCAGCTCGCGTTGAGGCGGAACATGTTCAAGGGACTCAGACAACTGGAAACCCTGGTCCTGGACTCGAACGACATACCGGAGATACCGATCGGCGCGTTCAATGGACTATCTCATATAGACCTTCTCTATCTGTCGCGCAACAAGATCTCGACCTTGCACCCCGACGTGTTCCGTGGTCTCAGCGAGATAAACGAGCTTGACTTGGGCAAGAATCGACTGAGGGCAATTCCCGCCAATGTCTTTCGGCACATGAAATCGTTGAACTCGCTCTGGCTGAACGGCAATCAGTTGACAGTGCTAAAGTCCGACGCCTTCCAAGGTCTCGACAATTTGCTATTTCTCTTCCTGAACAACAACGACCTCCGTTACGTCGACATGGCGGCATTCGCGAGAATGAAGAACATAACTGTGGATCCCGGCTTCAGAATACGTGGCTCGTTAGTGGGCGACTTCAGAAAAATCTATGGTCGATATCAGTGCATTAGCGTGGCGTACCAGTTACCGTACGACTGTACAGAGATTGATTCATAGATTCCAGGAACCGGCTGGAGCTCGTAAGCGAGATATTTTTGTATTCACGAACATGCGTCCGAGAAAACCGAAAATAATTTAGATTATAGATATAAATACCCTCGCTAGCCACACTTATTTTCCTTAATTCGCCACACTCTAGTCCGTGAGATTTTGTCGCATTGCCATTTTTATTCTAATTAATATTTTTAAGCTTGTATATAGAAATTAAAAATACAGACTCTGAATAAGATGTTTATGGTAATATCAGGTCAAGAAAACGATTTAAATTTAAACTGAAGTTTTTATAACAAAACTACAAAATTATGTTATTATGTGAAAGCTATAGAAAACCGGAAAACGTTCCACTGGACCGGAGTTTGGCGAGCTAGTGTTAACAATGATATAAGTACACATAAGTTTTAGTCTCTACAGATCTATAGAGATTTAATAGAGATGCTCGAAGATATATCGACATAATGATTCTTGATCACAATTTACAGGAATAACAATTTATATTTGATAAAGAGCTATTTTTTCCTTTACATATGTACGCAGGCAAATATTATGATGATTATCCTAGTCTGCGTTTATTATTAATTATTAACGATTTTTTAAATTTTTTCAGAAATTTTTAAAGGTTACGGTCAAGACAATCCTCCTCATCCTTGCTATTGGAAAACTTCTATGGATTATGGCTGGTACGCGCCGACAATTCATACAGTGCCGACGTCTTATTATCCCCGAAACAATTTTTTCAGCGCCGAGCTCAATCGCGCGGGGATGTACAGGAATTGTTCTCTCAACACAGAACTCGACAAATCGTTGCTTTAAATTTTACGTCATGTAAACTCGCTTGCTTGACATCTTTAATAAGTTGATAATAATGATAATATATATAATGTATGATTTAAATATTAATCAATATTTTCGTGTTTTCTCTATGTGTGCACTATTCTCTCTCTTTATATTATTTTTAAAAATTATTAATTAACATGTTTAATCGCTCTTTTTAGACATATATTTGAAAATAAAAATTGATGCTCAACAGTCAAAGTTTATTTTTATATGTAACTTCTTTAAATTCTTTAGATGTTTTGTATGTTACGGAGATATGACGCCGATAAAGATACATTGGGATGTAAAAGGAAAATGACAACGCGTGTACGTGATTTTTACGCTTATATATGTTTTTATTATTACAGTTCAGCTTACGTATTGCGTTAAACATAATAATGTAACAGGTTCTACATCGGGGCGTCTTCGAAATACACAACGCCCCGTATCTAATGCATATTATGGATGTTTCGCTTGTGACCATTGCTGCATAATATTGATGATTAATATATCGTTTCGTTTACTCTTTATTCCATTATCGAAACGATTCATCTATACATATTGTCTAATAATCATAAGTTGGAAAAAAACATTGCGCGTACACAGTGTCATGACGATTACACATAAATATTTGTAACATTTCGGTATTTTAGAATCCTTCGATACTCGCATTAATTACTACACGAGTATTTTACATTAATTGTGGTAATATATTAGTAATGGTAACTCCAATGGCAACGTAACGCATATAATATATATTTATGTATATATAACATAATGGACATTTATTAGTTGCGATCTATTGTATTAACACATTTAAGAGTAAGATTTATCACAACAACCATAATGACTAGGAAATATTGGAATCGTTTCATAATCTGTTATGACAACAAGGGGGTGAGTAATGGTTTATACACTCATGTTTTTTTGTCTTTTTTGCTATTCAGAAAAACTGCGACGCGTTAATTGCTATTGTTCTATTAATATTTCTGTTCGGTTAATTACGAACCACATCGAAACGTTGAATATTCTAAGAAACTGTTACCGTATACGTCAACCATATAGAAATAGATAAAACGTTTTTTTTTTTAATATTACAAAAAATCTCATCATAGTTTTCATCCGTATTTGTATCATTAAATCGTTGTTCTTGAAAAAATATTATATATGAATGATAAATAAAAATACTTGCCGCAATGGATTACCATTTCACAGTCGTGATTAACAATCGAGAAATCTTAATGGATATATTGCGTTTCACTTTAACGATACAAATTTCTCGTACTTTTATATATAAAATACCAATACAAAAGTTTTACAAAAAGGCGCAGATATGGATACGGTGCGCCAAAAAACAACGAGTCCAATGCCCTTCCAAATTCAAAATTAAATCGATAATTTCACCCAATTGATCTTCGATATTTATCGGATGTTTCACATCAAACGCCGTTTTTATATAGTATAATATAGCATATGTTAGGCGAAAAACAGCATGCTTCGACTGAGGTATCTCGTCCCGAAAATGATCTACTCTCTACTTCCACATTTTATCTCGTATTGCGAAAAAGATCTTGACGATCACTGAACGTTGATGCTCGCTGCTCATCGCACTTTTCGCTTTTTCGCTAATAGAAGTTGCTTAAATTGATCGAATTTTCAAACGAATAGTATATTTAAATTTTTATCGGCGTAACTAATTCACGCTTCACATTTTCAAGATATTTAAGTGATGATATTTCCGCCATCAATCTTTGATCGAGCGATAAATACACGATATCGCAACGATCATCTCGACGTGCACCTAACTATTAACGTTGCATATCATAGGAATAATTACATATTTGTATTTATATATGCGTTTGCATTTATATATATATTTGTCTTTATATATTTATATATATTTATATATATTTATATATATATTTATATATTCTTTATATATTTTTATACACGTTCTCGTTAATATTGTACTACACTTCTTCGCGTACTCACTAGAGGCTATAAATTTGTATTCTTACATTTTACTCGTTTTATCTTAGAGCTTCGCCAAACTCTGATAATCCTTAGTAATTAATGATGACAGATAGAACTCGCATTTTATGTGTGTGATCTAATTCCTTCCCCATCGCGTTTAGCGGGGAAAAGCTACTTACTTATACAGATTTTCATCGTACTATAAGATAATTTTAACGCGCGCTAATCTACGGGCGCGCGCGACGTACTACACGGACGTTGCTCTATATAATCCGTCCTTCGATTTCTTTCTTCTATTCCGTTCATTTCCACCCGTTTCCACCGTTCAGGACACGCATTCGCGCTGTTGATTCGTTGTCCTCTTAGTGAACTACTAAAACTACGCTTATGAACTCAAGTGCCGTTATAAGTTTATCGTTAAAAGGAAACGCGCCGCGTCGTTCGCGATTCCTCTTTCTTAGACTACTCTTACCGATCTAAATTTTCTTACATACATTGATCTTGCTCTTGAGATCAGGGAGCTGACCTTCGTAGTCGCAGTTAACTTTTCAATCTTTTATTCCAAATTAATCATCGCGGAAATTATCAAATGAGAAGTCCGATCAAATCTTACTATTTCATAAGATGGAAATTCATTAATCTTAATTTCGGATAATTTATGTAAAGATATTTATCTTTTATTTTTTTAAATTACCTAACTGACCTTCGATGCAATTAAATCTAATCCGTTTGATGGAAAGTATGCAAGTTGCAGTATACCATAAAATCTAAAATAACAGCGACGTTATAGAATCAATTTCAAAATGATATTTAATAAATACAAGCATATTAAAGTTCTGTAATTGGAACAGATATCAAAAAGGCCGCCATTCATTCGGACTCTCAGAACAGCCACACCTTGCATTTATCTTCTATTACGCTCGAGATCACCGCAATCCGTAACGAATCATCCGCTCGTACTCATCATCCATTACAACTCTATCATTTCTTTTTTTTTCTCACGACGATTGAATCGCACGCACTTCGCACGCAGTAATGTCAGAAGTCATCACCGTTGGTATTCAGCCTCGATTCAAGGTTCGTCGAAACGTCGGCCGCCGCGTGAATGTCAGCCAATTCGAAAGTCACGGCGGTTTTCGAGCACGTGGCGGCCAACGAGTCGATCATGGACCTCGATTCAACCCTTTCTCCCGCGTGGGTGGTCCGTTCGTGGTCATCGAAGCGTCACATTTCGATTCTCCCTTCCTCTCTTTGGGAGCATGATCAACGTGTTCGGTATATCCGGCAAGCGTTTCGCTCGAGAAAGCGCGACGAGCATGGCCGCCCTTTCGTCGAGTGTCTACTAATCTACGTATCTGTTTTGGATTATACATGTATTATATTTTGCATAATCCAACGCTCTGGTCGATTATGTTAATTTTTACGATCCCTAACGAATCTACATGAATTAGTTAGACCTGTGTGGAAATCCTTCTGAAATCTTAGAGCGATAAATATCCTTAATATATTTTGCTTTTCTGTACTCTGTACCCTGATTCTGTAACTCTTAACGGCAGTGTCGTTATTGTCGTGTTGTCGTTGCGCAGGTAGACTACATGGTAAAAAAGCTGCGCAACGACAATACAACGATAACGATATTGTCGTTAGAGATACAGAATAGGGCTACTGGTACGATAGGCTAACTTTAATTATCATTGTCATCTCATAAATGCTCATTAATGGCACTGCTGCTCGAGGTCGAGTCACGGCCTCCTGAAGTTTGGCCTTCAGGTCTCTTAACAATAATGACTATTAATGATAACGGATTAAATAACATTGACATTATACCGTACAGTAATGTTACTTATATAGCGTTACGATACGATTAAATTTTTTTTGTGTATGTGTGTATGTGTACGATGTATGTGATTGGATGTCGTCATACTTGTAGAACTCGTCACTACATACTGGGCTAGCACGCATTGAAATCAAGGAGGTAACGCACAGTACTAGGCTGCGATGTATATATATTCGTCGCGCCTATGTACACGCCTATTACTTGGTCGCTATTATCATCACTTTTCGCGCCTCGAGTTACCATCCGACTTTAACATTAAATTCGTTACACACAGAAATACGCATTGAGTATTATCGAGAGACGAGCCCGTCGTGTAATCGGGGGTAAATCGATGATGCGTACTTTATCCTATTGGCCTACCACAGCTCAGATGGGAAATAAAAGCGTACAACCGCTGAAAATGCGCTTCTTGTCGTTTTCGTTGTCATCACTTATAAAATTAAAAATTTTGGTGTTTTGCGCGGCCATGATTAATCGTTTATCGAGTACGTTCCGGAAAATAGCTACGTAATGCTATACCAAATGCAAGAAGATAACACAACTTCTCTATCTCTTCTATGTCGAGATTTTCGCGTTTTCGAAATGTAACAATCCGATTGCTTAATTTTAAATTTTAATTGTGCAGTAGTTGCATAGAGTCTTGTGTGACATTAGTATGAGAACCAGTTCTCATAAACGTCAGTTGAAGTAGCTTTCTAATTAACGTTATAAGAACGATCTTAACAATTAGCAGACAATTAGCAGAGACATTTTTGTTAATCTTAAGACACCACATGTTGTGTAATTCGTAATAACACACGTATAGATTTAATATATATCTAACTATTCTATCACTTTTGTTATAGAAGAGAAAGAGTAAAGGGGATAATGCTATAGGTATTGTAATGACCCCATGCCACTACTGTTGATCTTTGATCTAAAGCAAACGGAAGAGAAAGAAAGGAGGCACTGAAGCTCAGCGATTGTACCACCAAGATGATATGTACGTAAGAGATTTCTCCTCGATGTACAGTGACGAATGCTCAGAAAGCACAGTGAAGGATATATATGTATATATATGAGCGTAATCTAAAGGCGTGAAACATGCGCGAATCCATAACTTATTGCCCGATCCTCTCGCGATAATCAAAGGATAATCGTCGAGAGTATATGGAGATTACACTATTACGAAACTTGTTTCTGCTTTTTCAGTAAGCTCGCGCTCCCTCTTGGACGAAAGAAGGAACATGGGCTTGCAATTGCGAACGATTTACAATGCTAAATCGTCCATAATTGCATCTCGTTATATTCACAACGATCGATATTATGGAAATCACTAATTCACTACAGTATCGGTATAGTGACGTCCTCCGTTTATCGTTACACTTACAATACGAATTACTTCGTAACTGTATTTTTATAAATCTTGCAGGTTAAACGAAGGATCTCGCGTTATCTAACAGGTTCTGATATATATAGTCACAATACTTTTAGGACTTGCGATCCTAAAAACAGAAATGACGTCAAACGTAGATAAATGCCATCTCTGAAAGATGATTAGAAATTAAATTACGGTGAATTCCCATTAAGGCGATTTTATATGAAGTATAGTATGCGTTCTGTATATGCACACACACATATATATTGTAACGCGAGATCAATGAGACCGACTTTATGCTCGCAGTGATGGAAAACGCTATTTATTATCGGTATTTTCACTCGTACTGTGGTCACGTATACACAGCTACACGAGGAGTATCCTAAAGAGTTGAAGATGCGGTATGGTTACCGTGCTAATCTACGGATATTGCTGGTGCGTTATTACTTGAACTACGGTGCAATCGGTGCATTCGAAATGAAAATAAAAATACTGCTGCTCACGACACCACACGGTCACCGTAACTAAACGCCACTGTATAACGCTCTGATAAGTTATGATCCAAGCAACAAAATACACGACGCTGTATCGCTATTTAATCAAGATCAACGTTGCAATTGTTCGAACGATCGTTTTGCGACAGTTGCATATTGAGCTTACAGCTTTGTATTTATATTTAAGCGTATAATATCAAATGATATGTTGCAAATAAAAAAATTTGCTTTAAATTAATTTAATATAATTAAGTTACTAAAATATTCTTAATAATTGAGCTATCAGTATTAGCAAACGCTACTGATCAAACAATATATTTTCACTTTTATGAAAATATATCACATAATTATAATTTTTTCTAAACTTTACTCAAGACTTGATAATAACTGATGTTTAAATAGTGGTATAGCATCTGACAAGTCTTTGAAAATTTTCTTCAAGATCTTTCAACACTGCGAAATAAGATTTTCGAAGATCGAAAAACATTGAAAATAATTGAAGAGACTCATTACTTATGCGTATAAAAATTTACTAAGAAAAGCGATCAGCCGAACAAAATACGGACGCAAAATTTTCCTTCCTACAGACAATCCCGAAGATCACAGTTACAAGGATTTCTCCGAACAAGCGAACCCTAACTCTATCCGTTCTGCCATCAATTGCAATCGGCATCAGTGATTTGACTAGGCTGCATCGCATAATCATACGCTGCCGCATCTAGCTCCTACTTTTTATCTAGTGCCTAGACTCGCACCCCTGAGATATTCTTCAACCTGTAACCGCGTCTATACGCATTTAGCGCTGATCGATTGACCTCCGCGCAGTGACGTGATTATGATTGTTTGATTGCTCTTCTCCGTACCGTGGCGTCAGCTCTGAAAATGGAATTGAACATCTGTTTTGTGTGCGTCAAACTGTTAAACCTTTCGTGCAATCTTTGCGTCCCTGTTTGACCCTTAATCGCGCAATTTTTTTTTTCCTAATCACAAGACTCGCTGAACGCGAAATAATTTTTCCAGTGCGAGAAAAATGAAAAAGAGACTTCTAATGTACGAATTACATTTAGATATTTCCAAGGATTCACAATTATGTTTACAGAAATATAACTACGTAAAACTATTTAAAAGAAGAATGTATAGGAGCTAAGACATCTGTTTCACTTGTACGAGATTCGCTGCAGAAATAATTCGGTTCGCAACGTATGGAAGACAATCTACCGTTATGTATTGCAGAATTGAAAATTTCTAGAATCGCGATTGTTAGAATCCCGATGAAAATTATGATATACACAAGAACTTACTTTTATGTAACGTGTTCTTGCATCTCGATACTGCGTTCATGTTGTAACGAATGTAAGCTTGGACGGTACGCACACTTCTCCGCCGCGGTGAACATCAATGAAGAAACAGTGTGTCTCAGCGAATGTACAAATGCAATGAGATCGAGCTTTATAAAAAGTACAAACGAGTCAAAAGTATCACGTGGTAAAGTGCAATGTCTGCTCAAAATACCTACTTCATTCTGCTTGTCGCAGAAATTTACCAACGTCATTGTAACTTACGTCTCCCGAAAATTATTTTTATCCTCTACATTTTTCAATTGTCTTCTGATATCATGAAAAACGTGATACGAAGGACACTTTAGTGTCAAGGCACATGAAAATCAAACTGTCAGTTACTTATTACTTATGCAGTTAGAAAACCGCGAAAGAGATACGACGAAATCGTGTAATGTCAGATTTTCGTTACATAGAGTTTTCTAAATGAAGCGCTGAGAATATAAAAAAAATATCGATGGCGCTAATCGGGTTCTTTCGAAAGCTAAACAGAATCCGTCTAATTTCGAAAAATTTAAACCCAGAGTTTTGTTTAGAAAATTTAGACATTTTACTTTTTATATTGCGAATTTTCAGATTACGTATGAATTTTTCTGCTCTATCACTGTTATTTCACATTAATCGTATTTAATTTCTTTTCATCATGACACAATAATAACTTTAAATTTATTTATTTATTTACTTATTTATTTTACATTACTAATGACTTGATTGATTTATATCGTCAGCGCTTCAAATAAGATTATACTTTCAAATAAATCGCCCTCCTCGTCAGTCATTTAAATTTACGTCCTCCTTTTTATCTCTATCAACTGATTACATATTAATTAATATTTCTCAAATGTTTTATCACATTTGGCAACTGCTTGCGTCAGCAGAATTTCAATTCGCAATAATTATTGCGTAATGTTGCGTAATCTATCCTCTCTTCAGAGCTGAAACCACGGTCGATTGTCTCTCTTGTGATCTCTTCTTTAGTCTTATTTTATTAAGGTAAATCTGCGATCATTCAATGAAAACTGCCTTTTCTTCGTACTGTACTCCGCATAGTTTTAATTATGCTTAACTGGTATACCTCGACGGTATTACGTTCAGCCTGTTTACACACACAAATGCGTATATGTATATATTTGCAGATCTATGTATCGAGATAATATTCTGTCTCGCGTTGCACAATCGCATGCCGGATTTTCAATCTATTCTATTTCGATATTCCGTTTGCTTTCCTCGCGCCAAAGATCCACCGCTTATACGATTCCGGATTTTTGATCTATTCGACCGTTTATTTTCGTTTCTCGCACCAAGATCCATCGCTTATACGATTCCGGATTTTCAATCTATTCGACCGTTTATTTTCGTTCCCTCTTTGTTAACATCCACATCCTTTATAGGATGTTTCCTATATAGAGTTTTCTTATTGCTAAAAACTCAGCGACCAAATTTTCATGAATTTTCCATCGACGGCGTGGTCGCCCTGTGCAGCCCTAATGACAACCCGCGACGTGCGAAAATTTAGGAAAAGAAAATGTCGCCACTTTCAGGATGCGCGATAAATTTTTATCATTATTAGGAAATCTATACACGCTAGATATTCTCGTTAAAAATTTATTAGTGTGCCGCGAATTAATTCATCGATATATTCTTTATCGTCAGATAAAGAATTCGCGGATCTGGATTTGGATCTGGAAAAACTCGACGTTTCGCGATTTCGAAAAAATTTCGCCCATCCCTTGGTTATCTTAACAACTACTTGTGCGCTTAATAATAGAGACAATTACATATACGTCTTCCCGACTTTTGTAGTCCTAGATGAAACCAAACGACCGCTTGCAGTCTCGGTTAGCCAAATGTTCAGAATAATGCCCGAATCTCCTCTTTTTTTATCGTCTTCGATTAACTCGAATGACATAGGCGTACGAATATTTTTACAAACACTGCGAGATCGCCCAAAAGACGCCCATTGCCTGCCTTAATTTATATCTCGCAATGCCTTTTCCCTTAATGACAATATGACACACGACGATCCGAACGTTAAGCCTAAAAGTGGATGCTCGAAGTAAAACCGGTTGAGGAGATGCCAGGGGCCTACGGAGCGATTCCTGCTTTTATATAGTGAGAAAGCGCGCTTATTGTTGACGCAAACATTTCACTGGATATCGCGGTAGCAATCAACTGACATCAAGGTGACATTAAATGAGTTGCCATGTTCTTCGACCGAACTTGCCTAACTTTTATTTCATTCGCCTGCAGTGTACACGGATTATATAGAACCTACTTTACTCTCCAATGTATACATACACATGATCATGATGCTTTCAATATACAGTACCTACCTCGCTACTATATAACGCGTTATAGCTTATTAAATTGTTTAAAGAGAAAATCTTCGTTTTTCAGGTTTTTTTCCTGATTAATAATCATTACCGGCTTGTTCTCCGCTTTGCCTCCGATTGACTTTCATAATTGAAGCGCTAAAAATGCAAGTAGACCAAGCCCAGGTCCAGGGCTTTAAAGGAATTTGAAGCAAGTACGCCAGAGAGTTGCTTTAGCATCCTAAATCATGTGATTCGATCTATTTGTACTTTTAACACTTTAATTAAGAAAAGCCTTCATTTTCCGATAACTTTCTATTAAACTTAAATAGTTAGTGCATTCGCGTGGCATGCAGTTTCGCGAGTTTTCTATGACAATCTGCAAATATATAGATATCTACATGCTCCGCGTCAACTTCCGCATGATTGGCGCGTCGAGCATGATGCGCTTCAGTCGTGGAACATGCTTAGCGATCGTCGGAGAATTTCGTGAGTTCGTTTTACTGTTGCCGACGAGGTTGCCGATGAGATTGCCGACGAGGTTGCCGATGAGGTTGCCGGCTTATTATCATTAGCTACCTCATCGCGAGAGTGCCCGACGTCTACACTCTCGCTACGTCGGCCTATTCTTGTGGCCTACATGTCCCCAAAGATGCCTGCAAATGTCTTTCGCAGATTCTTCATCGTGTCCTCGGTGTCTTCACCCTGAGCCTGCGACTGGCTGCCTTGTCGATGGAACGGCACTCTGGATATCGGTGGTTCTTCTGTGCGTCGCCCGACGGACGGCGCGCTGCTTACCGTGCTTGATTGAGAAGCTACGAGAATTGAAAGTATGAAATTTTATGTTAAATAAACGTGTCTTAACATATAAAACGGCACTCGATCGAGAATAAAGTATTTTATATTTACGTGAAGGATATAAAAAACAAAACAAATATTTTCCAATTGATTGATTTAGAGGTATACAATCTTATTACGTATCTTAATGCGCAGTATTTCCGGTTAAAAATCGCAGAATAAACATTCCAATTTTTAATGTGATTTTGAAGTAAGAACTATTCGAGCTGTGCATTCAAAATCTTAACACACATAATAGTTTATTAATAATATTCATCTTTAACAGTTTTGCTTTTATACCACTTCTCTCATGAAATAGAATAAACGCGAATGTGCTATTTGGAAAATTTTTATATTTTTAATTAATCAGATTTTGTTGCAATATATCAATTTCGATTACATTACAATTACAATTAACTCGTAATTAGCTATTTAAATTCGCTATTTAAATTCGCTATTTAAATTCGCTATTATTTCTATTTACATCGAGTTAGACATATCACACATGTCACCTAGATTATTGTGATGCCTATTTTGGAGGGCAAGCAATATTCTTTCACGTGCGTAGATTGCTTCACACGATAGCCAGAAGTCACGATTCCCATCTGATTCTCCCTGAGAGATCAGGAAGTGGAGACAATCGCTACAGCGTTTTAGCGAAGGCTGAATCTATCGATTCGGGACCACTTCGAATCACGACAGATCAGGGGCGCCAATTCGGGTTCCATTTCTTCCGTCAAATTTATATTGTGAATCCGAACATTTCATTCACATTATTTCTGAGAAGTTGCAAAAAGATATAAGTATATACCTTGAGAATCACGCCGTTGCAACTGATGATGACTATCCGAGGCGGTGACATCGCTCGTCATCGGTACGATAGAACCTACGGAACCTAAGCTTCCTATACTGGCCATAGAGCCTATACTTCCGTGGGATCCCAAGGGTACAGTTGGAGGTACAGTTGGAGGTGCAGTTCGATCTTCTACCGGACTGCCCACCTGACTAGAACTCGACATTGAACCCCGCGAGGCGGTCTTCGTCAACATGCTCGGAGGTCGACAGTAAACCTGCGGATCGGATATTTTAATCGATGGATAGATCCTAATCGCGTAATCGCTCACGATTTCCACGCACCTGCATCTTCGCGGTGACCAAATCCGCGATGTGACGTCGATCCTCTTCCTGAGAGTCACCCATTAAGGATAGCGCGCTGTCGTTGACCTCGATAATGTGCTCCCGGCCGTCCTTGCCCACCAGCAATTCAATCGCGCAGATATCCAATCCTCCAAATAATTGTGCCACATGATCGACCCATGTGCGATGTCGCTCGCTCACGGAAAGCTGTTCCAGCATAGCTGATCCGGTGTTCGATTTCCAATTGCCGCTTATGCTTTTTCGCCTATAGAAATATATTACAAGGATCAATTATTACTATTAATTATTTAATATACAAACAATGTGGCTAACTTTTTTGTAATTATTAAAACTTAGTAGAGAAAACCTCCAAAAATTTGAAAGAACGTGCTATCTTATTCTTTAAATTTTTTTAAGAGTTTTAAAATAATTTCTCTGATTATTTAAATTTTTCCGGAGTTTGGTTTTCAGTTTTTGACACTTAAAATGTTATGCTCTCTTATCTTTGTATTTCAATGACTTACATGAAAGCCTTGTAATTGTTCCCGATTTTCTGCACGTGCACGTCGTACTTGGTGTCGATGTAGGGTTCCGCCGTGCAGTAAGTGTTCGCCATAGCTGCCAACGAAGCGAGATCTAGAAATTCCTGATTTGTTTCCGCACGGGCCTTGCCGGTTCCGCTGTGGGCGTGGCCCAGTTTCACCACGACAGGATATCGAGATGCACTCACCTGCAATCGGAATAGATAATTGCTCCATGAGTCGTTAAGGAATAATTAGGGTGCAAGCATCCTCTGTCATCTCTCTCGTAATTGCTACCATTCGATTAGTAATCTCTGACCAACGTGATGTATATTGCCGCAATTCGCTGTATGCATAATTCAAAACCTGAACAAAATCTCAATTATTGTCTGAAGTCTGAACATATTGTCTATTATATTTTTTTCGTTACAAATGACAGTGTTTTAACATGAAAAGTTATATTGATAGATATAAATCTATTTGAGAGAGAGAGAATCGTCAAAAACATATTTGTAAATATATTTATATTTCATACATATTGCTCTCTAGTGCATTCCATTAAAATTTTCGATATTCAAAAAGTTTTTTACTTAGTCATTTAACATTTGTAGATATAAATAAAACTAAATTAACTGAAAAACAAATTGAAGTGGTGGTACAATTTGTAGAACGTCACGAGATAAAAATTCATGAGTGATGTACTGCAATGTTTTTGTAGTATTTTCCCGCGCGCGCGATAATACAATATTCTTTTATTTAGAATAATGGTAGAATAATTTACTTTCATATTTAGTATTGACATAAAATGTTATTTGCCATAAAATTTTAAAAATTATGTTCTTATTTATGATAATATTTTACATAAATTTAACATAATTATGCAAGAATAACATTTTTCTTCAGTTTTTTCTTTAATTGTTTTAATACATTAAGCTAATCATATTCACTTTAATTCTTATTAATCGAATTAGTAAAGAAGTTGAAAAGCAAGAGAGACGCGCTTCTCAGGGTATCCCGTTAGTATAGATAACTATGGAATTTCTTCATGTGATAGAAGAAAGACATAAAACGCGACAACTTAAGTGCATACATTGCTTGTTAAATCGGATTCGTATGATATTTATTAGATTCTTCGTTTATATTCTCCGTATTTTCCGTATTAATCTATCTTAGGTACTTTCTATTACTCTTTACGTATCTAATTAATTATCATTTTTTCCATTGCTCGTTGAATTATCATCATATATAAAATAAAAACTGACATCAAGTATAAAGATATATGAATTTTATTAAATTTATAGTAAACGAAAGGAATTTTATATTATCATAAATTTGAATCAAATATTACATAAATAAATTAATAATATAATGAATAATACACACGCATAATAATAATTAATAAAATTTATAATATTAGACATATATGAAAAATATCAAGTTATACTAAACTTGAAATATGTATACATTAAATATTACTAGCTAAAATATAAATTACATTTAAGTCTCCCTTAAAAATATGATTACAGATTATATTTAGATATACTATGTGATTGCATACATCGCAGTTTTGCGCAATATAACGGTTAAATCATAAACTCGATATTCCAAAACGAATTATTGATTTTGGCTCATCTTGCGGAGTGCTATTTCGCGTGAGCAATAATTTTTTTACTACTACGAGAACAGAATCTCTGCTAAAATAGTGCGTATCTCGCTATTAACGATCTGTTTACAAGCGGTACGGACATGAAAGAGGAAGTGGCTGTTTAGTATCTTGCTCCCATGCTAGTTGAACGGCCGTATCCGGACCCAATCTCCGGCGATATATGTAATATTGCACGTGATATGAGAGTGCTCAATCTGCTCGTGTGAGAGCGCATGTGTTCGTATCGGCATGTGGGTGTTAAAGAAGTGCTTTCTGAGCACCGGTTGAAACGCATATCGCTGCACACGTTTGAAATGAAACGGCTAAAAGTGTGATTGCGAGAAACAAATGGAAAGAGATTTGCTATAAGAATATTAGAACGGTTAAAAATATATATAATTGTTGCTATTTATTTAAATATTGTTATCACTATGTCGATATTTTAGACAAAAATTGCTAAAGCGTATCGATAGACAACTGCGTGCACGAAGGAAAAAAAAATTAATTGTGATTAACGGCATGGGATATCGATGAGTGAATATTAGATGGCGAAATGTATATGCGAATATTTCGATCTAAAAAATAATCGAAGATAAAGAAAGGATAAGAAGTAAATGCAAAGATGTCTGATCGAAGGTGGCAACTGTTGCAGCGAGGAGATCTCGAAGTGATCTTGAAGCCGGCGGGCTTGACTCTAGGCAACGGATGTAGAGTGCGGTAGGTAAAAGCTCTCTTGCTGTAGCGACGGAGAACGAGAGAGATAGAGCAGTGGACGTCGATAATATAAGCGGTATTCACAGTCAGGACTTAGTAAGCTTAGATGTAATGCGCGTAAGTCTTGAGACAGGCTGAGATAATCGTATAGTGGGTTTTCAAGGTGGCCTTCAAGGTATATCGCGTTAAATTGTCTTTTTTCATAAAGTCTCTTCTTAAAATACGGCAGGTATATGCGCACTTTCATAATGGCGTCTCTTGAGAATACAGCCAAAGAAGAAGACAAATAGATCCTAAATGTCAAAAGCTTGATCAAGCAAATACGCAGAACTATGAAATTGAAAATGATTTGAGGTCATCTTCAGAAGTGAAGTAACCTTCATGAATCATGCTGTCCGGCTCGTCTCGATTATGAATACGATCGTATGAAAGAGAAACAGGGAAGTCTTTACTAAAGCATAATTAATCTATATATATATTTCAAAGAGTGAACCGATTATTAATAAATGAATCGTGCAATCAAACGATCTACAGAGGAAAAGAGATATCTCATAGATTGGCATAGCTTTTCAAGAAAATCATCCTCTCGTGTTTTAAATTTAGTATATTTTCTTTTTAATCAAAAGAGAGAATATATTGAGAGCTAAAAATATTATCTGGATATTTTGATTAACGAACCAATTTCCGACAGAAAGTCACGTACGGTACATTCTTCGTCCGTAAACCGCTGCGGGAGACGGATGAATTAAATTAAATTGGAGCAATCGGAGTGACATTGATCGGAAGACAAGGACGAGTCGTGAGAGATGAGGAACATTTGAAAAAGGAAGAGAAGTGGAAAGGTCGAAAGATTTGTAATCGGTAAGAGCAAGAGGCGAATGCGAACGGGAGATCACAGACCATCGGACGAGGATGGTCGTGCCTCGTCGACAGAGTAACAGAGAGAAAGAACAACGAGGACGGAGAATGCCGGCATCATAAGATCAAAAGAGAGAAGGAAGCGACGAGAAAGAGAACGAACGATGGTGAACGAGTGTGCACGCCGTCCACAGTGGAGAGGGAAGGAGCAAAAGAGAGACCACGGGTAGACGGACAGGGAAAGCCCAGGGTGAGAGGGACGGGCAGAGAGCACGAGCCAGGAGTCCGACGTAAGAACGTAGGAAGGAACGAGAGCCCGGCGTGTCGCTCACGCTTGCATTGCTTTTCGAAGCTCGCGCGCGATCGGTCGCACGCTCGCGAGGTACATATACGTGCGTGGTGCAGGCTCGTGAGACGTAGGCGCACACGTGGAGATAGAGAAAGGGAGAGAAAATCCCTCCAGTCTCGTTCTGCGCTTTCTTTCTCTCTCTTTCTTCCTCTCGCGATCGATGTTATCTCGCGACGAGGATCCTTCTTCGTGCGCGCGAGAAAGTGGCCGGCTCTTCGAGATCAAGATTGGATCCGCGGAAAAGCGCGAGTGCAGTTTTCTCGGCGGTATTGATCGGTTCCGCAGCTTCGATTCGGTGATTATTATGCTCGCTGATCTGTGAGATCTTGAACGCAGAGAAGAGACAGCGGGAAAAGGCGGAAGAGACTGCGAGGAAGAGTTTTACGGAGGAATCAAGAAAGGGGGGTCACCGGAGAAAGGTAATCTGTACACTGCATTGTCGGATTTCCTACTGTAATTGCAAGTACGCTTTACATTGCGATCATTCCCGTGCAATTTCCGAACGAGTGCATCGCGAATTGTAAAGGAACAGAACTGTTTGGTTTGAGGTTTAATTTATACGATCAAACGGGATGAAATTCATAATCAGATTAGGTGAAATTGAGAAATATTAAACTCTAAACTCTCTCTGCAAACAAGCGTTTGCGAAAATTCAGATATCTGACGGAATGTAATATAAGAGTGTATTAGAGGATTTAACATTATTTATAAAATTATTTGGAAAATACGTATAGAAATGTATTCAAATATTCTATATTTTAATATTATTTTCATCCTTATTTTAATAAATATTTCAATCTTGTTTTTTAACTTTTGACATTTAATTTATTTACCTGCACAGTAGAGACATTTTACATATTTGAAATATTATAATACAAATAGTAATCGTTATTCCATTTACTGATATTACATATGATAGATATGGATATGCTATTAAAAAGAGATATGTGTAATATTCTATGTATTAAAATTGTCATTCACAGCGCTACATATTTATTAAATTGAGAAAGAACATATCAATTTTTGTTAGAATTTAGCAACTTTGGGAAAATATAAAAGAAGTAAGATAGATATACGAATCAAATGATTGTAGGAAGTAAAACGTGGCACCCAACCAGGTTGAATAAATAGAACGCTTGAATGTGTGTGGTCAAACGAGTCGATCTTATGAATGTCGATCCATAAAGGGTTGAACGGGACTCACGTACGATAAATAGTACCCCGCAGGGAATCCACATAGTAAACATAGGAAAATACATAAGACAAATAGACGAGCGATATGTTGTTGTATGTACGAACATTCAAAGAAATTTCATTTTTAATGATATAAAAATATTATATAGATTTTTAACGGTAACAACGGCAAATGCTTGTATTTTTATAATATCCGTTGTATTTTAGAAATGTTGATTGCGATAAGGATTTCACAAATAGTTGTGAACATTTTTCTAACATACGGCTATTTACCTAATAAATTTTAATTTTATTCGAAAATTGTCTTAATTTTAATTTATTGATCGTCTTAGAATAAGATATTTAAAAGAACTTGCACTTAACTGTGCAAAGAAAAATATTACAGATGGAGTAATGCTCTTTTAAAATAAAATCTTTGTCGTTTAAGATCAACTTTGAGATCTACGTATCTCTACGCGCAATTCATAATAATGACGTCATTTGCAATTACAATTTGCGATGATACGTATATATCCATCGTATGAGTGACGATTAACACAACATCTTGGACGCGCGTTTATAGCTCGCGCCAGTTGATGAATGCTGCAAGGATCGTTTTCTTGCAATTGATACTAGTAAACGATTAAAAGCTCATCAGTTAGTAATAGAAGCGTAAAATAATAGAAGAAAAATGAAGGGACAACGTAATGCATTACTGCAAATTTTCCATTCGTGACAAACAACCTCTGACATTGATAAATGATCATCGACGACTATCGCGTGCATTATAGATATTAAATCTTTTTTTCGACGGATTAAAATCGCGCATATATAATAATAACTAGCCTCGCGGGTTTCAGAACGTTCTTTGCGAAAATTACGATCTCCACACTCTACGCAATTACTTCGCCTGTGATAAGCTGAAATTGAATTGTGCCGTTGATGACGCTGTCGATTGGCGGCCTAAGTTTAGCCCGCTTCTGGGAAAGCAATTTCAATAAAACGGGCCGTAGGAAAATATGAGAGCGCACGTTCGAGACCGCCTCTACAAGCTGGTCCTACTTCTAAGTACATATGTACCTCTCTGTTCACGAGTTAACGATCGATTCTCCCACGTGAGTCGTGGGTGACTATTTTCCTGGCAACGGTTCTAGGTTCTAGCCTACCCAGCATCCGAAATAACGTATTGCCGCATTTCGTGTCTCACAAGACACGTAATACACCTAAGAAAATGCTTTAGCTGCGCCAAGGGATGAGACATACGCGCGAATACATTTTATGCAATACATTTCCAGGAACAATTTTAATCTAAAAGTATACGTTTTAAATTATACGTATTTAACATATTCAATTTTTATATTTAAATTTCTATTAATTAGACTTTATTACAAAGCAACCATATGAACATTATTATTAAGTTGTAGTAAAAAGTATACCTGTTTTTCACGACCGAGTTTCAAGTTAAGTCTCTCGCGTAGCGCGATGCGTTGAGATAAATTCTCGGATGCCCGACGTGACACACTGACATATCGACCTTCGCGTATTCCGTGCAACAAGGCAACGAGTGCACCGTGTGCGTTAATACGCTTGGAGGTTGTTCGATCGATCGAGGAACGCGCTCCGATGCGGGCTAAATAATTGCCATTTCCATTCCGGCGGTGCTATCGCGCTCTCGCGCTCGAATCTCATCGCGATTTTTCGCGGCGCGGCCGGCACTCATTGTGCGATTACGCGCGAGAGCGGGATATAATTCATCGTCGTGGCGAGCCGTAAATGCGCCCGCCGTATCGCCGTGTATAATATTACGTTTATTACGCGTTACTACTCGATACACGACGGCCGGTGTGGCGCCAACCAGCCGGCCACCACGTACACGCCGCACGCACATTCGGTGCACATTCGCGGATATGGGTGCTATCGCGCTCTTTGCGCGTTTTATTTCCTTTCAAGGAATACGTAGACGCGGCCGAGATTCCCCCCTCGTGATCCAGCGAGATTAGAACTACGGATCGAGTATTTATGGTACTTCGTGATTGCGCAGGTACGAAACGCGCAAGGAATGCACTTCGGGGATCATCTCGGAGCTGCAATCGCGCGATGGATGCTGGCGAAATATCGCGCGGCAAGACTCAGGCTTGCTTTCGCGACATGGCACAGTCTCCATCCTACTTTTTCTCTAACGACTTGGCTATCGATTTTCAATAGGTCTCGATATTTATATTCTCTTTTCACAATGTTTCATTAACTTTTACTATTCTGTTCTCTAATACCTCTTTCACGTTTTACAATTATTATTATACTTCATTACTTCTCCTATTTTATTTAATGATATTTGCGATGCCAGTAAGATCATTAAATGCAACATTTTACATAGTCTAGTTATCTGTTATTTTCGAACTTGCTATGTTAACGGTACAAATTTCCTCCTATCTCACGGCACAAACGGTATGCATGAGTTGCCTGATAAATTACGGAAGTTGGCTTCAATCCAGTACCCGCTGATACGTCCCGTCTAAAATTGAGATCTTGTTGAGAAGATCTGCAATATAGAAGCTTAATTTAATCATTGAACTAACGGCGCAGTCAGTCATACTAATCGCCAAGTCGCACAGTTCGTTCCAGCGACATTATGTACAAACGGTGCCAACCATTGTTTGGCTCTCGAGTTTCTTATCGCGCCGAGATAATTTCAATCGTTCCACTCGGCAGCAGTTACATTCTTAGATCGGTAGACTGCATTTCGCCGGGGCGAGCGATATCCTGCCGCGATAAACGCACGATCATTTGCCGGAGATACCGATCGCACGGAGGAGGAAACGATCCCACGCCGCGTAATAAAACGACCATAATGATCCACGTTCAGTGACGGCCAGTCGGCGCGCCTCGAGGCATAGGATTAATATCTACCTCGGCAAGAAAGTGCGAATGAATGGTGTCGCGTGAAACTGCGCGACCTCCGCGCGTCTTTCCACCCGGAAACACCGGGGGGCACCGTAGTTCCCACAACAATTAACCATGCGGTTCAAGAACCTCCATCGCGACGCTACACCCGCTAATGAGCAGCGAAAGAGCAGCCGTTAACGAAGACAGTCCTCGACATCAAAGGTCAAAAGCCCAAGTTTGTCGGAAAACTGATTATTTAAGAATTATACAAGATTAGAGAGTGCTGAAATAAACTGATTTCATTGCTTTATTAACACGTCACAATAATGACAAGACAAGATAAAAATAGATTATATTGAGACACAATAGCGAACACTCCACTCTAATAACGTGTCACGAATGCAGTCACGTTGCAGTCTGAGCGTATAATAGGTGACAATTGTCCAAGTTATTTAATCAACCAAACAGGTTTCTGTTGGTTAAATTAAATATCAACCTATCACGTCATCAAGCTATCTTATTCAAATACTGGCCACACGAGTAAATATAGAAAAGTAATAAAAAGGCGAATTCCATTGACATATATTACAAAACGATAAAATATGCCGGAATCGCGTGGATAGTTCTCGTAAACGTTAAGTGGCCGTGTCGTAACTCGAGGAAATCTTGAAAATATTTACTATGTGTTAAGTGGCTCTTAACACGAACATCATAAAACGTCAAATTAAATCGCGCCATTATTAAACCTCACCGAACAGAGATACAGAAGTTTGTGCCAATTTATTAAATAATATAAATACATGGACATTCGTATTTTGTGCGAACAATTCGACAGTAAATTACGCCCGCGCGAATTATTATCTGTGACCTCGACGGCGCGTGTAATTCTTTTACAACCGCGAATTATGGAGTCACATCTGTTATCTGTAGTACCGTTATAATATTCCCGGAGGTGCGGACAGTCTCTCCATGTGTATACGTAAGATGAATCTCCGCCGATGCACGCGGTCGCGCAAAATGTTAATAAGTATCCAGCGGGCATTAAGCACTATCACTATCGAGGGCTAGCTACGGAAGTAATGGGATATCTTCTGTAACCGAGTTCCTCGTTAAACAGTTAATGGGCCCTGATGCAACTAAATCCTACATGGAGCTCAATCTAATTTTATCCTCGTGTGTAAGTACAGCAAAATCTCGTTACAACTTCGCGCAACTACAAATTGAGTTTGTGTCCATACAAGTGAATTGGCGCGGCTATTGGTCCGGAATTAACTCAATCCTTGTAGAATTTAGCGCTGACAATGTGTTCCAGGTGCTGTATCTAACAGTCCGTTAGAAATTATAAAGCCGCCCATATATTTCT